AAAATTAGTTTGAACTTTGTTTTAACGACAATTTTCAAAAGTTAAGTTCAGCTTAGTAAGTTGAAGTCTAAAATATAATATAAATAGTTTCTACTAACTGGAGATTTACTTTATAATTTAGTGAAATTCTATAAAGTCAATAACAGTTTATAGTAGTTATTCCATTTTAACCCATGTAAAGCCACTATAACTTGCAGCCTCATAACAATTAATGATCCAAAAATAATTTTCATAATAACGAAGAAAGTCTCATAAATCACCAGAAAATACCTTCAAGAATATTTCATAAGAAATCCCGCAAATAGTTTTGGCCCCACAGTGCACGGCTTAAGCGAATTTTCGTTTATTCTGATTACAAAAGGCGGCATGGGGGAAGGAAGGAAGGACGGTAGGTAGGGAGGATTCAATGGGAGGGATGGGGAGATTTGTGGAGGACAGAGCGCTGGTTGAGGCACAAATTCCAACTTTACTTTAACTTTAATGTTGGGTCGGTTCGGTCGGTCGGTTGGTTGTCGTCTCTGGGTTCTCGGTCTCAGTCTCAGTCCCGGTCTCATTCTCGTTTTCGGTCCTCGGTCTCTGTGTGTGCTGAGACCTCAGAGCAGTCGGTGCGACGATGACGACGGTTCTGACGCTAGCACTCCGACTCCGACTTGGCCGATGACTATGTCCTATGACTCTGGCTCTGGCTCCGATATTATGTTCTTTTCGTTCGGAATACCCTAGAGATATGATGGGTATTCTGGATTCCCTATATTTTGGTGGGGATTTGTAAACTTTGAACTGCTTACTATTTAGTTTTTGGGTTTTATCATGATCATGGAAATCCAAAATTACTAATCTAATCAACGCCTTTTTGATAATATTTCTAATATAATATTTAAGAAATAAAGGAAAAATTGCAAAAAGGGAAAAGGGAAAAAGGAAATATGATCTTTCATTGATCTTATGATCTCTCATTGATCATTTGGCTAGCGCATCCCTGTTTCGGCCTGATTACTTCCATCAAAAATTCTCGTTCTTAGCCAGGTCTGTAGCCCAGTGCGCCTGGTGACTGCTGATGTTGCCGCTGCCCCTGGTTGCAGTTGCAAGAGTCGCCATCGTCCTCGTTGTTGTTGCCGCTTTTATTCAGCATTTTTGTTAGTGCTGCCGCCGCTGGTTCGTTGGTTCGTTCATTTGCTGGTTATATATATGTTGTTGTTTTTTTCTTCTTCTTATTTTCCATCAGCGTCGCCGTCTTGCCTGTGGTACGGAGCCAGGCCAAGCCATCCAAGCCAGCCAAGCCATCCGAGCCAAGCCAAACCGAACCAAGCCAGGCCAACCAACGCCATCGCATGGCATGCTTCACCTTCGCCCCACCGCACACAGATATACACACGCACACAAGCACACACACTTTGTGTGGCTGCCTTCCCATTCAACCCACCTCCCTTCCTCCTCCACTCTTCTCCTTCCCCTTGGGCCATTGCTGCTGCTGGAGTTTCTTGTTTTCTTTCGACGTCGTTGCCTGCCCCTGGCCCCACACCATTCCACTTGGCCAGCCATCCAACCAGCCAGCCAGCCCAGCCACCATCAACCTTCTGCCCCATCCCAACCCCCATCCTCTATCCGCCATCCGCCATCCACCATCCATTCCCCATTCCCACAGCCCACCAGCTCCGGCTCCGGCTCTTTGCCTTGTCGTAATTTTACTTGGATTTTTTGTTCGTTTTCTTTTTCTTTTCCTTTCAGCGCGCTGCTTTCTGCGCTGCCTGCGACTCGGTTTCGAAATAAACTTTAATGCGAGCCATTCGTTCGGTTTTGGGGTCTCAGTTTCTGCTGCTCTGTTAAATTTTCTGGTTAAATTTTGTGCGCAGTCAGCTCGCGATGCAGTTCGTCGTGGAGTTGCTCGATTTCTGGGGCTGGCAAAGCTAAGGGCTAGTTGGCATTACCCAACTAGCTGGAGATTGAAGGGATTTCCAGTTCTAGGGGTTAAGTGCTGAGAGGTTTTTTTTTACTAGTTTCTTAAAGCGATTATAGTATTTCAGTTCTGTGGGGCCTTAATAATACAAGGGGTTTTCCAAATGACTAAATTTAAACTATGGGGAGCACTTAGGAATCTCTCTAGAGGTTGCTTTAAGTTATATCTTAATGGTATAGGGATTTCTTTAGGTTGTGTTTGATAAAAAAGTTGTAATAACTTAACTACGTTAGTATAGATGATAGGTTTTTCTTCTAAACTTCAGAATCTTAAGATATTAAACTCGCAATCTTTAGGAAAGGGTTTCCATATATTTCCCATTAAAAACTTTATTACGAAACTCCTTAAAGTTACTAACTATCATTAAGATCACATAGATCCATCATTTTCGAGGCCACCTTGAGGGCTTGAATCCTTTTCGCAACTAAACTCGACTCCTTTTGCGCAGTCTCGCACTGAACAGGCAACATCGGCAGTGACAGCGGCAACATTGCAAGTTGCCGGAATGCTGCTGCCGTTTATAGTTTCACTATAAGGCGTATATATGAATTTTGCCATCGTTCGCTTTTTGGCACGCAAACGCACACAGCACACAGTACAGCACATCAGAGTGGAGCCAAAACAGCCAAACAGCCAACCCAGTCAGCCATCTAGCGAACGTCCTCGACAAGCCCAGTCAGCCAGGCCAACGGCAACGGCAACGGCAGCGGCAACATCATCAACAGCAACCACTTCAGTACCCCCCCTAGCCCGTCTGACCCTCTACTATACTATACCATACAATCTGAAAATATAGAAAAAGCAGCGACATTTGGGACGTTCGCTGGTTCGTTCGTTCGGCCGGTCGGTCGGTCGGTTGTTCGCCTGGTACGTTCCGACGTTCGTTTTTGTTGGTATCGCTGTGGAGCGTTCAGAGCCGGAGCCCCAAACACCAGATACAGATACGAGCGCACATACTCGGCGACTACAGATACAGATACAGATACAGATACTGTGCCAGGCCAGCAACAATAGCAACAGCACCAGCAACAGCAATCACCTATATGAGTGCGCCCGTACATACATACATACATATAGAAATGTATATTTATATAGAGTCGCAGCAACACGCGCACTGGATTCAACGTCGGACACAATGCTCTGCTTCTGCTACGGCTACGACTACGGCTGCAGATATAGATACGGACGGAGGGCTAGAATATATAAATATGGGGTTGGATCTTGTTTTTGGGGGAAAATGGTTTTCGGGGGGCTCTTAAGAATTTGATCTGGGATTTCAAAAGGCGCGCTTTTTGAATGATAACTGGAATGTATTGGGTTGTCTTTCGATAAGGTTTGCCGGTTTTTAAGATCTCACTGGTATAAAATCAAGCTATTTTCATAATAGGGATTTTGCAAGCATATAATTATATATATAGGAAGATATAGAAATATTGAACATATCACATTTTTAATATGGTATGGGGATATATAAAAGTAGCTCAGGTTTTTAAACTTCAAATATTAAGAAAAATATAAAATTAAAAAACGCCGACATTCCAACTGAAAACAAATGATAAGAAGGCAAATTTAAAAATATAAATGAATCACGGAAATAAAAAAAGAATACTTTGGAGCGAAAAAGATTGTAAATATAACTCTGGAATGTTTAAGACCAAGAAAAGCCAGATCTATTTTAAGTTTAGTACATAGTTTAAATAGAGTAACCAAATAAAATATTAAGTACTATTATTCCTTATCAGAAAATAGTGATAATTCTATAAGAAATATAACTTTTTTTACCACTTCAAAGACTTCTCCCATGTGTATTTCAAACCTTCGTGGAAAACAGAAAATTATATAGTAATAAATCGCGATATGGGCAATAAGTCGGAAATAGCTAAGCTGGCTGCAAAATCTCCGCAGCATTTTATCAGCTACAGAGAATTGCTCGGGTGACGCAGATGGCAAGCAGTTCCGAGACTCTCGACGACAATATGATGTTCTTGGGGCACCGACTGTCGTCATCGCCTGAGCTGAATTTGAATGCAAAGTCGAGAGTTGCAGAGAGCTCTTTTGCTGCAGTTGCAATTGCTGTTGCCTGTTGGTGTTGCTGTTGTCTGTTGATGTTGCTGCAGCAGCAGCAGCAACAGCACCGGCTCAAGAGCAATGCGAATATAAAAATGGTGATTCTGTTCTTCCGCTCCGTTTCGGAGACGCCTCTCGGGTGTCCAGGTTTTTATTAGCACCCGACTAACGGACACTTGTCCGCTCGCTTCTTCCTCCTCAACAACTCAAACAAAGCCGCCGCCAGCCGGTAACTAATTTTCGAAAAAAAAGCGAAAGATGATGACTACTCCGTCGATGGCAACTTCGTTTGGAGTACGAAGCGGTCTTCAGTTGTCGCACTTGCATCCTGTTCGAGGTTGTAAAATTGTAATCTCTGTCCATTGTGTTAGCTAAATTAAGTGAATTTTTAGATGCCTGCTTGGCATTCCAATTTTCTTTAATACTTTTCGGGGTATTGACTTTGTAATTTTTTAAACAAGCTAATAAAATGAAAGCCATTTCTTTAGGAACAAAATATTTACTGTTTTTAATTTTATTTTTATTGGGAGCGGTTTTTTTGGGAAGGGTAATAAATATTTATGTTTGTATTATTATTTAAAACATATACATTGGAAACCTATTATTTATTTTGTAATAAAAATGACCTTCTGTTCTCGTTTACAGCCTTCTTAAAGTATTCTGTCATCTGTTTCCAAAAATAATAAAAATGATTGCCTAATCGGTAGTTTATTAAAAACAAACTTAATTTCGAACCAAAAATTTATAATTTAAATTTTCAATCTTAAATGACTACAGTGGCGCCTCCACATAAGATTTAGCCAGATGACAAACTATTCGTAGCCTCCTATTAATTCCGATGCCAAACTATAGCCCGCCACCTATTGCTTGAAATTAGCAACCAGCAAAAGTCCAAACACTTTCACACACTTCCACCAGAGGGAGCTGCTTACTTAGAACAGCTGATAACTTAAGAATTGTACAACACTAAATAGATGTTTAACAACACTTATCATTGTAAGTTCGTAATTTCTTGTTCAGCCAACAAAAACTTTGTTAAATAATGATGCAACACACTAAGCGCATGGTAAGTAAATTAATAAAACTGTAAACAACAATTTAAAGATCAATCCTTTGTGCAACTTAGCTGACTCCTTTGATGGGCAGCCTGCGAAATTTGCCGGCACGCGGTGCTACAACCACGACGGCTGCGGCGCCCGCCAAAATTGAAAAAAGTGAGTAGTTTACTGTTTTTGCTATGAAATTACATTAATATTCGGCTAAATAAATACAGCGGTTAACACGGTCACCATATTGGGAAGAGTTGGAGCCGATCCGCAGCTGCGTGGATCCCAGGAGCATCCCGTGGTAACCTTTTCCGTCGCTACACACACAAACTACAAGTGAGTACGCGAACGCATTAGTGTGTGTGTTGCGGCACAGCATGTGTTCGCAGTTGAACTTGAATTTGAATTCCCAAATCTCAAAGGAGGCAATACAGTCGCGGTCGTGTATGTACATGTGTTACATATAGATTTTTACTTTGCTACTTAAAACGATCCTGATCGCCGCAAAGAAAAAATGAAAGAAAATTAAAATTAAAATAATGTTTTGCTATTGAGGCCATGAAAATCACATATTAAATATTTCCTTTTACAGATACGAGAATGGCGACTGGGCTCAGCGCACCGACTGGCATCGCGTTGTGGTGTTTAAACCCAATCTGCGGGACACAGTGCTGGAATACCTGAAGAAGGGACAGCGCACCATGGTGCAGGGCAAGATTACCTACGGAGAGATTACCGACCAGCAGGGCAATCAAAAGACCAGTACCAGCATCATAGCCGATGATGTGCTATTCTTCCGAGATGCCAACAATTAGGATTTAAGACAAAAAGACCAAACCTAATCTTAAGCACAAAAGTTGAACTTGCAGCATTGTAAGCATTTATGGATATATATTATGTTATCAGTTTTTGGATTACATGCTTAGTTATATCTCAAGTTTGTCTTTATATATTACCTCAAATTATTATTTTTGCAGGAGCATTAATCAATGGAATTGATGGCTTCTGGCTTCAGAGTAAGCTGCTCATACGCATTCTGAACTTTCGAAGCCTGGCTCTGCAAATTCTCAATCTGCTTCTCAAGGCACTCCAGGGTGCTAGTGTGGTAATCGATGAGCTGGGAGATCTGTAAATGCATTTTTTTTTAAGCTGTTTAAAGTTTTAATGAACATTTTCTTACCATATTTCCCGGAGGTTGTCTCGTCTGGGCCTGATTGTTGAACATCTCGATCTCCTCCCTTATTTGGTTGCACTGAGCATCGGTTTTTTCTGTAGACATTAGCAAACCCAACAAATCCACATAGGTGGCTCGTGCCAAAGGATACTTTCGGCCAGCTCCGTATTCAGATCTCGGACATCTCTCCTCCAATTCAGTAATTGCCTTTTCTGCCTCGATCAAGTTCGTCTCGTTCTCATTCAGTTCGATTTCTATCTTAACCATAGATCCATTTATCGATTTTAGGACTTCATCCATTGAGGTTAGCTGGTGGTTTAGTTAGAGATATTATCTATGTGTTTTAAGTATTTAATTTTTTTTACATTTTTGGCATTTTCCACGCACTCTTGCTCCTGCTCTTTGATGAACTGCATCTTGTTATTAAATTCCGACTCCAGCTCAAGGGTGTCCCGCATTAAAATATCAGATAGCATATCCAAATGCATGAAGAACGACGGATCTGAAAAGTTTGGCTCACACATAATTTTTAAATTAAAAGCTTTTTTATTTTGTAACTATAGTTCGATGTTTAATTTTGTCTATAAAGAGTTGTAGGATAAACCAAAGCTTGCTTAGAATTTAGTTTTCTGTTAAGATTCAAAGACTTAAGTAGAAATTATATCAGAAAATGGTTATGAACTATTACCGATTAGATTAGTTTTACCTTTAAGGTTAATAAGGAAGGAAAAAGTAAGGTTTGCCTACTATTTAATAACATCTAAGAGAGGGAGTACAATTTCTAAGCTTTGACATTTACCTAAGCAAATAAGAAGAGACTCGAAAACATACCATCCACCATAAACTTTGCTTTTTTGCCTACCAATATTGGAGACCCACTCAAAACCCGCGATCCACATGCTCTCTTCACATATAAGCTTGGAGCGACCTTATCGCCATTTACCACCATGTGTGTGGCCATTCGACTATATTTTCTCGCCGAGCGGGACTGTTCGCAGTTAGTATTTGCCAGTTCAAATGCTGCCGGCGGTCGGAAGAGTTGATAGCTGATCGAGCGCTCCCGTTCGCGGTTTATTTCATTCGAGAGCACGTTGCCAGTCCCGGATTCTTCTTCCATCTTTACGACAACCCACAACAATCAGTAGTTTTCTGCCCATGCTTGATCCACTTCTGCGGAAGATGACGACTTGCTGAATCGGCTTAACATCACAATAACTACCATATAAATCCATCCTCGAATAACGTTTCCGATTAAACTACAAATATGGCTGTGGATTATGTGCTGGAGGACCTGATGGGGAAACTAGGTGAGTGGTATGGGAATTGGGAGCGAAGACTTTTGAGAGGTCAGCTGTTACGTTGCCAGGCGTCTCCATCCCAATGCTGATAAGACCCTCAGTGTACAAGGCTTATCATTTTGAGAGCTCTTATCTGGTCGTTGCAAGCTGCCATGGATAATATTTGATTTCACCGGCAAAACTTGGTTTATCGCCACCGTTCTGTTCTGCATTCAAATTTCATAATTAATTTTGATGGCATTTCGTTTCTAATCTCCCCCTAATCTATCCGTCTGTCAAGTGATCAAAAGAAGCCGACGTTTAATACGGTTTTAATTGCAACTATTTTTAATTTTTTGTTTTCGCACTATTTCTAATTTAATAAATCCTCAAGGCCGAGCCAAGTGACAGACATCTATGACAGCTTGATAGAGACTATATAGCATATATATATATATGTACGATTAAGTGTGGGCCACGTTCTGAGGCTGCCCAGACACTTGTTGAGCCTTCTTGGCTTTAGCACAGTGACGCTAAAATGAGTGTGCGGCTAACAAGCAAATATAAATGGCTTAAAAGGGGCCAAACGTCTGCTGAGCTTTTGTCACAAGACTCTATGAAATGGGCTTGTCATAAAGATCTTGGGATCTTTACGTACGGATATCTGGTTTATTTTCTGTTAATTTATTGTATACTATAATTGTTAGGCTTAAACATTGCAGTTAGCTTGTGAGAGAGTTAAAAATAAGCCTGTTTATCTGCATTATGCAAAACAGTTAGTAACAATTGTGGGAAAACTCGTACAGTGGAAGCTCGTTGGGAGTACTATTTTCCCAGAAGAAGCTATAATCTAGAAAGTGACAAAGATTTCGAAGTAAGAGCATATCTATGTCAAAGGGCTAGCAATAAATTTAAATTTATTAGAATTTCTATAGTTTTTTTTTACAAACTTTTACTTATAAAGGTGACGAATGGAAACTGGTTTCTTACTTAGCAGCCTCTAAGAAAGTGACAGGAGACAGAGCAAGGGAGTAATAATCGCATTAGTGACTTTTTTAATCGTTATATATTCGCATACATTTGTATCTGTGAAATGCAAAAAACTCGAAACTGGTTTGTTCAGATTCAACAAACTGTATAGCAAGCCCACTCAGCCCTCGTAAACTCATAACTCTCATTCATGTGTATTTATTTTGTTGAAGGCCTCTTTGGCGGGCAGGTAGCTCTAATTACTTCGAATTTGGAGGCGTGTTACAGTGCTGAATTCGTGATTTTCTGGCCATAAGAAGGTTACCACAAAAGCCAGCAACTTACAATGACTTTGAGACTGCTTCCACATGTGCTAAGTACGAGACTCAGAACAAAACTGAAACGGCCTTCAGTTGTTTTGAAAGTGAGGGAAGTGAAAATGTTAAAGAACAAAAAAAAAGGTAGACTAGTTAGTCATAAACTAGTAGTGGAGAATACTGATCTACCTCACTGCAAATTAAACAAGTTTTTTTAAGAACAAACTTCCAGTTTGTTAATATTAAAAATAATTATACCCCAAACTTATTAATGAAAATAGACATCATTAGCGTTGTTTTGTAATATTCCATTACCTTATCAATCCCACTTATCTCCTATATTCCTCGCAACGTAAACAGCACTCTAAACCTGCCCTAAATTAATTTTAATACATCATTATAGCCGACTAATAAGAGTACCACAAACATTAAATGAGCCAAAAACAAATGTCCTAATCAAGGGCCACTTGGCAACAGAAATAAGGCTAATGCTTATATTGGCCAGATGTAATAAATCCGACCCGTGACAATATATAATATATGATACATCATTTAGTGGCCTCTGATAATCCGCTATGATTTCCACAACCATATTTACTATTCCAAGTTATCATGATTTTTTTCTGCCTTATCGATGGCCAAGTTTGTGGACAACTATACGCTGATTATGTCTATTGGGGGCGTAATTGAATTTAATTAAAAATTGTGTGAAATTTTAAAATTGAGATTAATTAAGTCATGCCCCTCTGGTTTTTGGCATAATGTTACACGCTCGATGACATAATTTCTTACACTTCACGTAATCGTTATTAATTATAAAAAATTGAAAATTCTCAGACGGTTTAGTCACGAGTCTATCAAGATCGTAAACTAACGTAACGTATTGTGGGGTGAACGTAACTTTCTATATGATGACAAAAGTTTTGCTTAAACGATCAATAAACGTAACCCACAAATCAATTGAAACGGCTGATTGAACATTGGACCGTTCAAGTGTCAAATTCTCGTATCTAGTCCATGTCGATAGAAATTTACACAGCCCCGTGGCCTCTATCGATGCGATCGTTCTGCGAGACCCGAGTTCAGCCCAGTCCAGCCATGTCATAATCGATTCCAATGCATTCCTTCCCAGACATTGCAAGTCTCCCTCCATGGAGCATACAAGCATAGGACTAAACCAAACCAAACCAAACTGTGAGCAAATATTTGACGGGCCAAGCGAATGCGCTTCAATTGAAATCGAATTGAATAAATTCCACTTGATTTAATTGCAAAGCCTTTGGAGTGACGACAATGCCAGCCAGCGACACCCATAAAAAGTTCCCATCTACATAAAAGTCGGGTGTTTCTTCAGGTTTCATCTATCACACGAGCTTTTATCGCTGTTACGTGGTATTTGTTTTAATGATTTTATAGTTTTTGAGTATACAAATGCCTTTTAAATAGGTAATTCTATAACATTTAATAAATTTGTATATTTTCTGGCAAAAACAGAAACGATTTTTCTAAGAAAAACTTATCAATTGCCCTAAAGACGTCTTTAGATTTCTCTAATGGCTGATGATAGTTTTCGTTTTGTTTTTAACTAGTAGCTATAAAATGGGTGATCCATACTACAGACACCACTATAGATAATCACTATCTCTCCAGCTGTCTTTGGAATATATTTCTGACCTATCCCAACCAATTAATAATTGTCTTATCTCCTTTATTCAGGGGAATTTGGAAAGTACCAGTTCCTGCAGTTCTTCCTGCATGTCCTTTCCGCCTTGACCGCTGGCATGCACATGCTATCACTGGTCACAGTGGCCGCCGTACCCGAGCACCGATGCTTCATCGAGGGTCTGGACAACAGCAGCTTGTCAGTGACCCCATGGAACTCAAGCGCTATCTTAGCTGCCATTCCACTAAAGCCCAGTGGAGAGCTAGAATCCTGCATTATGTTTGATCCTGCTAACCTAGGATCTAATACCACAGTTCCCTGTACAAGTTATGTATACGACACGACGTACTACAAAACATCCCGCACCATTGACTGGAATTTTGTTTGTGATCGCCGCTGGATGGGGGCCATTGTACAGACCGTGTTCATGCTGGGCGTGTTTACCGGGGCCGTCACCCTTGGCGGACTGGCCGATAAAGTAGGTCGAAAGACCGTATTTTGCTGGTCGGCTCTGTTCCAACTGATCATCGGCGTGGGTGTGGCCTTCATTCCCGAATACTTTTCATTTATGGTGGCCCGCTATCTGTTGGGCATTGTTGGATCAGCGGGTGCCTACATCTGCGGTTTTGTGCTGACCATGGAGCTGGTGGGACCAAGTAAACGAACTGTGTGTGGTATTACCTTCCAGGTGAGGAAGCTATCAAGATATGACACCTTGATTTTACAGATCAGTGATATCTCATTAAATTTTCATCTCTGATCTCCGCTTAGCATTTAATCTCATTTATTTTCCTAAACTTATAATATCCGATCTTCTTTAGGCTGTCTTCGCTGGTGGCATCATGTTGGTGGCCGGATGGGGAGCACTAATCCATGACCGCCAATGGCTGCAGGTGATCTATGGACTGCACGGCTGCCTTTTCTTGGGCCACTGGTGGTGGATGGATGAATCTCCGCGCTGGCTGTGGATGCAGGGACGTGCAGCCGAGGCTGTAGACATTGTGGCCAAGGGTCTGAGGATCAACGGATCTGGAATTCCAGTGGATAAGGAGTACTATGTCCAGAAGGCCAAGCAACAGGCAGCGGCCGAGGAGAAGACCAGTGCCGGCTTAGGCGATCTTTTCCGCACACCTAACCTGCGGATGAAGACCCTCAACGTGTGCCTTTGCTGGTTCGCCAATTCCCTGGTTTACTACGGACTTTCGCTGAGTGCCGGCAAGCTGTACGGAAATCCTTATCTGATCTTGTTTATCTTGGGCCTGGTGGAGTTCCCCAGTTATATAACCATTGTATTTGTACTGGATCGCTTGGGTCGTCGATCGATTACCTCCACGCTGATGTTGGGAGGGGGTCTGTGTTGCATTATTGCTGCCTACATTGCCCAAGGAAGCACTACGTCCACGGCGGTGGTAATGGCAGGAAAACTGCTCATTGCCGGATCCTTTGCCGTGATCTACAACTACTCGGCAGAACTCTTTCCCACTGTGGTGAGAAACTCAGCCATGGGATTGGGATCGATGTGTGCCCGTTTGTCTGGAGCCCTTACCCCACTCATCACTTTGCTGGACTCATTTGACCCCAAGATTCCCGCTGTACTCTTTGGTGTAGTGGCATTAATCTCAGGTTTTTGGGTAATGTTCCTGCCGGAGACAATGAATCAGCCAATGCCCGAGTCCATTGAAGATGGAGAGAACTTTGGAAAGGGCGATACTTGGTTTAGCCAGTGCGCTGGTCGCAAGAAGCGTCAGAATAGCGTCTATCCCGACGACCCCGAGCAGATGGTGCCGCTCAAGAATATCGAGAGCAAGTAATATCAAGCCAAAGACGATTGTGCGAAAGTTCCAAATCCAGTTCAAAGTCCCTTGTTACCCTGTTTTTTTCTTGTTAAGAATTCTACTCTTCTGCCTAGTAGTATAAGTTTTAAGTTTTCACTATCCATGCCAAGTGAATAAAAATATTCAGCAGAATTGGAAAATCTACAATGTGTGGATTTAACTATTGCTGTGTGTCCCTAAGTTGTTTGTAAATTGTATTGTATTTGTTTTAGATGGTCAAAAATAAATCTTAAAGTCACTTAAGTTCTTAAGCAGTCGATTGATTTGAAAATCGTTGCCTACTTTTAGGCTGAGCGCTGTTATTAGTGGATGGCGCTTATAAAGACCCGAAAGTGTAGATTTTTGAACTGCTTTTAAATTAAGGTAATTTGGCACATGCTCTATGGTGGCTCCTTTAAACATCAACAAAATGTTTACCAAAAACTTTTCCCCAATTAAAGTTTATTCGGCGAACCAACCACCCAGCCAATTTGAGTTTATCTGGCCTTGGGAAAGTTTTCAGTAATTTCCACTCAATTGCACTATCGAATTGCCAGTTGTCGACAGGGATTTCCAATGTCAAATCCATAACCCATAGTTGCCCTTTTACCCAACCCACTGCACCAGCCGTCAATTAAAGTTTGTTCAAAGAGTTTTTGTTTCGGTTTTTCGGTTTTTGTTTAGTTTTTGGTATTTCTTCCTTTTGTTATGCTTTGTTTGGTACATTTGAGAACATTCATTTCGAATTTGAATATATTTTCAATTTAAATTTTAACTACACGTAGGCATATAGATTTATATACGTATGCATGTACGATTGATATCTGATACGATATCGTTTACACCATATTTCGCTGGCTTAGAATTACATTAACATTTACATAGATATAGTAGCTTTATATCTGGGATTTCGGATCGCGGTTCTCGGTAGCAACTTCTCTCAACACGATCTCCCGTCGAAGGTACACAGAGATAGAGATATTTGTTAGCAGGTAGTCGCAATGGCTTAACATCAATATTCTTAAACATATAGACACACTCAAATCGAGAGATAAACACATCTAGATGCTGGTTTTGCTAGCCAAAGAACTTGTATCAGAAGCCAATTAAGGTAAATGCTACACTTCAAGAACGGAGGGATGGGAAAGTATGTCGGGCTTTAGGGGGCGGGAGTTCGAGTGCCTAGTAATACAAACATACGAACGTAGCTAAATATATGTATGTGTAAATTAATCACAATTGAATCGGAAATTATTTACAAAAAATACTCAATCTAAGACCCAACCATCCGCAGAGCATGAGTCCCAACCCGTTGTCCGGTTCGTTTTGGTTTTACAACTCAAGTTGTTTTCTTCAGTTTCGTCTCCAAATCTTATGATTATGCCCTTTCCGGGCATTTTGTCTGGACAATTGGCGCCTTGACCTGGAGACCTGGCCCAGTCTCCGCCAGCATGGCCGTATGTACGATAATTGCCGGCTGGTCCTCGCTCTGTGGATGAAGCTCGTGTGATTCGCCAGGCGTAAGGCTGGCCAGGGCAGCCAACAGGTCATGGTTGACCAGTGGCTCACCCTCCTCGCGCGGCTCCCATCCGGCTGGCGGTGAGGCTGGTGGCGAGATGAGGAACTGTTTGACCGGTGCCGGTGGCTGCAGATTCTTGTTGCTGACCGGTGTCACAGGCTGGGCGAAGTAGCAAGTGATCACCGTTTTCTTGTTAAACTCGTACTGATGTAGCTTGATTCTCGCATTAGCCGCTGCAATCGCATTGTCATAGTTCACCCGTAGCCGGCGGAAACTTCGCAGCCACTGGAAAGTTGCCGATTCACTGAACGTCCGGAACAGCTCCTCCATGGCATGCTTTAGCTCTGGATTGGTAAACACCTCTGAATGGATGTTGGTCACAATAATCGAGGTGGGTAGATCGTCAAATGAGTCCGCATCCACCTCCGGCTCTGTGTCGCTATCCACATCCCCCTCCTTCGGCAACGATGGATGTTGATTGGGCAGACCGTCGGCGGCATTGATGAAGATGTCCTGATCCGGCGACAACTTATCTATGCTCCCGCCTCCGCTGCTATTTTGCGTTGACTTCAGTTTGTTCTTGCTTTTGCCGTTGGCGCTGTTGTTGTTATTGTGATTGCCACGTGGAGTTGTCGGGGTGGCTTCGTTAGCCTCGTCAGCTGCTCCAGGGGCATCAGGAGTGGCCGGATCAGGTGCATCAACGGACGCATTATTGTTGGACTTCGCCGAGTCGGACATGGTTGGCTGGAAGAGAACATCAAAACATGTTATAACATTTTACGTCAAGGATTTTTGCAAAAGCGTAAAAAACTAATAGAAAACCTGACCTTCATTAAACCATTTTTTATTAGAGCAAGTTTAAGCAACACTATTGTTAAGCTGACCTTTCATGCTGCTAAAGTTCACCTAACATAATCCCTATTTGTATTTATTATTAGAACAAAATAAATGAATATTCGAATAAAACTAATTGAAGACAATTAGCATACTTTTTAGGGCCAATTCTGGTGGGAAAGCCAACAGCTGTTTTAAATAATTATTTTTGTGAAAAGCATTACTGTTATATTTATAAACATACGGCCTTTAATTATAGCCCCAAAAGCAATGACTTTACAGTAATTGGATTCAACAAGTCGGTGACATTTTCCATAAATAGAACTGTCAGTTTGCTAACCTTCAACCCCAAAAACATTTCTAAAAAATTGGTAAACAACGCTTGCAAATTAATTCTACACACAGGCCGAGGGTGTTGGGTAAACAACGGGTTTTTTGTTATTTACGTAATACATTTGTTACAAATTTCAAGCGCCATGCTATGGCAATAAAAATTGCTTACTCCTTCCACGAAACCCTCAGACCCTTTCCGAGCAATTACAAGACCAAAAAACTACAGACGTGTCTGAGTTTGGAAACGGAATATGGTGGGTTGGTATAAGGAACTAAGGACAAGGCGAGGACTTAAGTATCGACACGTGAAGCCAATCAATAGGTCTATATCAAGTAGTGGGAGTCCCTAAGGGGATCCGATGGTGACGCACTGTTGATTCACAACTGCTCTTGATTTTATTGTTATGCCACAGAACTTATAGAGGAGGGCAAAACGCCGCCAGACGTGTGATTAATAGTGGCGAATTCTGTTTTTTTTTTTTTTGGTGAATGAATGAATGAATGAGTTAGGAACTGGCGGTGGCGCCGCGATTCTGGCGTCAGAACAAGATTGGTGACGTGTGTCTGCTTTCGCACCTGTGTGACCGTCATGAAGCCTGCCTACCATTCCCCCTCTAAAAACCCAAAAGGGAAACTCTTCGTGTGTTTCATTATAATAACTGGCAGGGCTGTAGCTCTGGATGGCTGCCCATTTGTATGCTATAAAAATAGCATTTCTCTTAGTGTTTTATTGTGAGCAATGAATCAGCAATATGCAGTGAGTTAATTATACGCCATTTACTCCCAGGGAGCGAGCTATTTTAGCCAAATGCAAATGGCTCTTTGCGCCAGCCTGGGTAAGTAAACAAAATTGGCTTAGTTTTTGGGTAAGAAATTGCCAAAAAAGTTTTTATGAGCCTGAGTTTTTAAGGTTTTGGCTGGCAGTTTTGCTTTGTATTCGTTAATTAATACTTTTGGGCATAAATTAAAACCCCGTTTGCCAGAGCATTTTATGGATTTTAATTGGATTTTGGATTTTATTGTCATAATTGAGATAGATGAGAGACATTGCTTAAACTTATTATTTATTCTGATTTTAATTATGGAAATTCTTTAAGCACTTATTAATAAAAGCATGAAGGTTAAAGTAGTTAAGGTAAAGGGAATTGCCATCATTTAAATGCTCATATAAATACAACTTTAATCTGAACTAAGTAATTAGAATTAATCTCTAGATCTTCATCTATTTTAAGCACGCAATTAAACGCTTCTTTTCATAAATAGAATTGCTTTTTAATTTAATTAAATTGCAACACCCCATTTGGTGATAAGCCATCTAACTTATGCACTCCAAAAAATGAATAAACACTTGATGGGGATGACAAGGCCAAGTGCTGGTGTTTTAAAGCCAGCCAGACGCTACCAGAGGAACCTCGTTTTCCAACGAATACTCCTGACTGAGAAGGTTTGTTTAGAGCTTTCACTTTCCTTTTTATAGCCACTTTTTCTGTTGACTTTCACCTCAACGCAGCCAAGCAGAGCAACAACAATAACGGCTAACAACAAACCGTAGCTAACAATAAAAACAAAGGCCAAAAAAAGGAACCCAACGACGAGTTGATCTATTTCCGGATGATTGATTTCCTTGAAAGGACACACCCACACAATTGTTACTTGTGTGCTTCCAGCGGAAGTGAAGATGGTTTTTCTTTCTTTTTTTTCCCCCCAATCCTGGGAAATGGGTGAATAAAAAGTCGTTCATGACGTGTGTACTTTTTGTTTTGCTAAAGAAGGCACGCTTGATCCCTATCTAAGGAGCTGGAGGAGAACGATGATAACTGCAAGTCAGCATAAATGAGCTGCTGGCATGCAAATCGTGTTGTTCCTATTGTGACGTCATTGTTCCTGCACGCAATCCATGAAAGAAACGTAGGCCGAAAGCGCACTTTAAACTAGACAAAAGTACCTCTCAGCCCCGCCCACTTTTCGGGAAGGCGGTACCGTGGTTTCGACATGATGATGAATTGCCTGCCGGTCGTTAGCCAACGACCTTCACTCATTCATAATTGCTGTCATCATTATATCAAGTGGTCGACGCCACCCCCCAACCTGCTCTCTAGGCATCCATCCATATCTATATACGTATCCATTCATTCGCCAATCCATCCATCTATCCATCTATCCTCCTCTGCTCATTCCGCCCTGAGAGACTTTAGAGATTTTTACCCATAAGTAGCCTGTACGTAAGCCACCACAAAGACACGCAAAAGCTCTTTAAATCATTCGAGACGGCTACATCGGGCAACTCAAAAAAAAAAGCCCTAGACAATAGAATATAAATAAAGTTATTAAAGATATACATAAGTGTAAAAGGAGCTCATTATAATTTAAAATGTTAATCAAGAAGAAGATTCCACTATCCAAAAAGTTATACAGAAACTACATTGTTAAAGAATATTAAATTAAATCACATTAACATTAAACTACATTAAATGAACCTTAACCTTCAATCAATGGCTGCCACTTTTACATTTCTCTTCTCAAATCCTTTAAGCTCTTTAGTTTTTAAATTGTAATTTAATTTAAACTTTTCTCCCCCACTTAAAATTGATCGATTTGATGGTTGCGAATACGAATGTGTGAGTAAATTGTGGCCTTATTTACATTATCGTCTCGATTTCGTGACAAAAGGCAAATCCAACGAGTGGCTTTTCCGCTCAGTACTACAGCTGGTGTCTGCCGATGCAGTTGCAGTTGCAATTTCAGTTTACCCTATTTCAATGCAAAGGCAAATAACATTTCTAGGGGGTAAGATTAATTTGATTTTCTGTTGAAATTTTAAACTTTCCCTCTGCAAATTCCTCAGTCTCAGTCAGATATTTGCCATTGATATATCCACGTATATATAAATCTTGGAATTTAATTAAATTGTTTTTGGTCTTTTTTTGCTGAGCTGAAAACGCGTGGTTGTGTTATTATTACAGCTCCTTGCGGTTGCTGTGCAGGCTTTGCTGCTCATATTTGCTGCCTGCAAGTGTCGGCTTCGTTTGCCACATGTCACATGTTGCTGCAACCGGAATCCTTTCAAGGCAAACGTAAAAGGTCAGGCGGTCAGGTATGGTCTCTGGTCGTCGTTAGGCGGGTATTTTATCACGACTTTTGCGGCTGTGAAAGGTTTACAAGGGCATACGAAACGTGTGCGAAACTTAAACCATTCCTGGAAGCTCTGTCAACGAAATTAATTGAATCCTAATTAGTTTCAAAACTTTCCTTTGTTCACCTTTCACTATCTGCTCATTTCATTCATCGGCATAAAGTTTTCCACATATGCTGAATCTTAGAAATTTAAATACCACTGCACCTGAAAGTATGCTACGCTTCTAAGCCACACACATACTACTACATACATATGTAGAAATAGATGGCCCCCTCTGTAATTGAGATCCACGAAACCAAACCAAACTCGGCGTTCACGGCTGCTGTGGTTGGATAATTACTGCCAAAGGTGAAACGTTCACCGAAAGCTTACCTAGCATGGGCGGTTTTGCGTGGGTGTGGCACAACCTGGTGGGCAGATGGGTGGTTGATGGGCGAGACGGAACAAATACAGCTGATTGGCAGGACATTGATTGGTCCCATGCACCACATGTGTGTAAAATGCAAAATGGCTTAGCTTTGGACTGCAAATCAGCAGGAATTGTGTTTAGTGAAGACACAGCGTGACATAATTATAAATCTAGCATCAGAAATAGTGTAAGGATCAAAGGAAATACCCTTTTTCTGGAATAAAAACAAATATTTATCAGTATTTGTAAGGAAGTAAATTAAAGTCAAGTCAAGTTATTTAAAATAATCATTCATGGTATGGCATTAATCAAAGATATATTTACAATTCCTAGTAAATTTATCAATACATGGCCTATTTATTCAAAACATAAAACAAATTCTTAGGAAACGGCTCTTAGAACAACCAATTACTCCTACTCAAAACAGCCATAACTCAATATATAGATTAATTATGCCCAAAAGTTGCCATTTTCATTTTCTTTTCCAAATAAACTTCCATTTGGCTTTCCACTGCCCATCCGAGCTGTACTTTCCCAATGTTCTGACTAATTCAATAGGGAAACTCTATAGGTTTGTGTTTTGTGGACTCATTAAACGTAATCCCCCTTATCCATGGGGCAGCAGCAGCAGACCGCCACCCATCAGGCAGTCACAAGGGGCATCCATGATAACAACTGGCTTTTGTTGATACTGAAACCTTTGTAAGCCGCACACAGTTAGCGCACAGCATCCGAGGGGAAATTACTGAATTAGTGAATTTGCTGGATTTACCTTTGGCATTGCATGACAATATCAGGTTTTCGTAATTACCCGACACTTCCAGGCATGAACTGTTAATTAAATCATTTACACACCAATAACTCCCACCGCACTGCAATAGGTTTGTAAACAAATTTGCACCAAGTAAATATGAGAAATGATTTTTCTTTCGGGTGGCACTAGCCAAATGCCTGGCATTTCCACTGACCTTCAATTGAAATTGTAAATTCTGATGTGGTGTGGGTCGCACATATATACATATACATATAGTATATACACCCGTCAAAGGTCACCACCTCCCACCCACTACTTTTACAAATTGGATTGTTATCACTCAAAGTCCTTGGACGATTCCGAGGAGTTTTCATTTGCCTCAAACCGATTCGACCAGCCCCTTTGTTGTCGCCTGTCACTCGCAACTGTGCGACTCCATGTGTGTATGGGTGTGTGTGTTTGCATCTGTGGGTTTCTCTGTCTTGTCAGAACTTTGACACGAAAATAGTTGGGCCAACTTGGCTATGCAAAAGCGATTTATATTAAGAGCCCAGCCATTTCCAGCACGTGCTGTCGAAATTCGGTGATTTGGTTGAGGGGGCAGTAGGAGATTACCGAAAAGTTCACATTGCCTTTGCTCTTAGCAAAAAGATCAATATTTCCACAGGCAGTAAAAGTTTTAAATTTTAGTAAGCCAATGTTATCAGTAGCAGTTCAAGGTTGAGGTTAACCGGTTGAAACCCGCTGGTTATCGTAAATCATGGCCAACGGTAGTCCCCTCGATTCGGTTCTTATCGCCCCAAGAGCAAGTCCCCCAAATGACGCATTTAATGAACGCATCGAAAAGATAACATTTGGCCATTGTTACTAACGTTAATTGAGACGTTTACAGCCCGCATATATGTACATATATAGACTCATATGTAGATACCTCAAGTCAAGTGAGGCATATATAGTAGTCGATGTCAATCAGGCCGATGTGTTAAGTGAGTTAGGGGCACTTTTGCTGGGACGTGACGTCAGTGGAACTGCAGCTAGATCCAGTCAAACCAATTGACGAAAGAGCCCATGGCAGCGGTCTGTACTCAATTCATCAATTGGCAAGGCAAACCCCTGGGCAAAAAAAATAAAGGCAAATAACCAAGAAGAAAATACAAAACAATAGCAAACGCAAACAGAAATAGCATAAAATGGACAACAGACGCGACAACAGACCCCAATCGCAGGGGGTAAGCAACAAAAAACAGCAACAAAAAACAAAAAAAAAAAAAAAAGATGAGTTGCTTTTATTTTAAAATCGTTTCATTTATTTTGCGTCAGCAGCGCCTCTCAATGAGGAAACGCTGCGTATACATAATTTTCTGGGCAAATATACGCACTCCCATATCTGTCCGCCGTCGATTGCGGTGGCCAGTCGGTCTGTCCGTCTGTCCCGTCCCAATCAAAAGCACAGACGAGTGATCTTTCCTTGGCCTTTTGCAGGCTCTTAAAAACGGGTTGTTTTCGAGTGTTCATGGTAATCAGAATGTTTTCCAGAATTCTCATTCGCATTTTACCTTTATCACATACCAGTATTCACGAAAAAAGGAAATGTACTCAATGGTCTTTCTTGCATTACTTTATTTTTAGATTCAATCACAGCAATTGGGCTGATTATTTATGTACTGATAACACTTTGAAGGAAATAGTTAGCATCTGTTAGTTAATGGCATTTTTATTTGTCTTATCTTGAAAGATTTTGATGTTTAAATAGCTATTGGTAAGTTATTTCATTTAACTTGAGTCTTTCCTCACGGAATTAATCAGAACACTATTAAATATATCTACTATAAGTGGTTTAAACCAAATGAAAAAATATAACTAATTTATTTAGAAATATTAAATAATACCCAGTTATGCATGATTAAAAGCTAGCAACTAGAAAGTAAGAAACGATCAGGCAATTAAAAGTGTAATTAAACCAATTTTATTGTTAACATGATTCCATACAATAGCGTTCCAAGTCATTGTTGGGATAATGGGTTAATAACTAGCCACAAATTCTTGGCCATAACTATTAGGGCCTATCAGCTAATAGTTATTTCCCTGCTGTTTCTATATCATTCTCTAAATCTCCTTTAAATACGCTTTTGTTGCCCATGAAACGATGATTTGCCATTTTATACACAAGTATTAATTTGTCATGATTCTTTTGAGCGTGCACTTTATCTGAAAGACTGAACAGCTGGCTGGGAAATGGAATCCGGATTGGAAATGGCAAGTGAATCTGTCTTCGCCCGCAGACAAGTAGGAGCCCAGTGGGCATTCCGGGGATGAGACGGGAATCAGTATAGGTTTAAGGATTGGGGGCATTGGGGGAAAGGTCGCTATGCAAAGCCAAGGTCGAGATTTACAGGCAGGTCATTGTGTTGTATAGCTGCTGGCAATAAGAACGCCCACGCACACGCCCCTGTCAACTAGCCGGGTAAAAAATAGAATCAAATATATATATATCAGATATATATATATTGTATATATACATAGAACAGGAGCAGCTAGAGCAAAGCTCGTATTTTATTTGCATTTGTAAATTTATTGCTTTCGGTTACGTTTCGCCTCGCCATTTTCCAACTCGTTGTGCTGCTGCTTGGGGAATTTTCGGGAATTTGTTGGGATTGGGATTGGGTTTAAGGTTTGAAGCAGCCAGGGGCTTCTACTGTTGCTCAAAGCAATTAAAATTTCAAAAAAAAAAAAAAAAACGAAAAGAAAAAAGTTACCAAAGCAGCAGCAACAAAGCGACCGCAAGAGTGGCAACAAACCTCCTCAATCGCCCCGTGCCCATACTACATACGTCTTCATTTTTCAGCCAAGGAGGTGGAACGTTTAAAATTCAGCCAGCAGCCACAGAGCAAAAACTCCACGGACAGTGGGTGGAATTTAATTTCAGAAAACATATTACTTTATTGTTCACGGCTTTACCCACTTCTCGTTCGAACTCATCGGCTTTTTTTTTATTAAAGACTAAAAAGTTTGTGAAGAGTAAAAGGATTTTGTAGCTTGATATAGACTCTTTAGTCTTCAACGAATTCTGTCAACTTTTTAAACTTAAGTTACTTGAGAATAGTTTTCATGGAATAATAATTTTAGTAAAACTAAAAATCTAAGATATTTTGCCTTTATTAAGTAAAAACATATTTTCGAAAAAAAGTTTAAATTTCAACAAGACTTAATATAAGTTTAAACTAAACTATTTTGATGTGGTTAAAGCACCAACTGCTGTGCTTTTAACTTTATATTAGTAATTTTGACCACAGTGCCAGTGGTTGCAAAAGTATGCGATAACAATAACATCGTCCACTATGTGGTAGGTGTTGGGGTTACGGGCTGTCAGTCACGGTCATGGCTACAACCCCTCCAGACCCCAGCTCAGTTCCGCCCAGTCCGGCAAACAATGGCTGCGGACAGGACGAAGGAGGATGGCCAAGGATGAAGGAGGGAAATTCAATAACACACCCACGCAGCAGACCAGCAGGAACTGTGGCAACAACAGCTGCTGCTGCTTCTGCTGCAGGATCAACGAGGTAAGAGTGGATTCGAAGACTTAAAAACACGAGCAAACCAAAAACAACTAGACACGCCGATACTTTAATACTCTTTTTAGGGGGATTTTAAAATGCCTTGTTATCTTTATATGCGGGGTAATCACTATTTCTGGGTATTTTTCCTGGCTTAAGTTAATCTGTTTTTATGGAATTCATAAGCAGGGGGGTTTTGAGTAAAATCTTAATTCGTAAGACCAAAAAAAAATCACATTTGTTGGGTAGTAAATGGGATTTAAAGATATCTCAAGGGATGTTTTTTTGCAAATAAGACTACATTACGGACATATTAAAAAACCTTACGTTCTTTTTTCCCTTTTCAGAATATTTAAATTAAGTTTTACAATGAAAATGCTAAGAAATTTTGATGTACATAAGTTAAATATCAATATTTTCTAGTAATATCTCCTGGTAATATCACCCCTCCTAATGACCCCTTCTGCACGCCACTGCAAGGGTATAATATTTAGAACAACAAAAGCAGCGATGCATTATTATGGCGTGTGCATAAAAATGAGCAAATGGAAAGGGGTTCCTGCGGGGGAGGTTATGATAACCTTGTACTTCTTTTGATAAAAACAATTTGGTTATTTGTGTTGTTGCAGCGGCTTTCTCGTGAATGTTTATAAACAAATCGAGAGAGAGAGAGAGATAGAGTGAAGGCGACACAGGGCGGAGGGGCTGATGTTATAAAAAAAGGGGGTGACTTTTCGCAGACGTTGCGGCACCAACACAAACAAAGCCAACGGCAACACACAGCAACAATTTGCACGTAAAACTCAGCTGCCGCTGCTGCTGCTGCTGCTACGTTACATAAGAAAACTCTTGTAAAAAACTGCAAATCTCAATTCGGTATGCAAATGGACCGCATGTACTTACCGTTTTTAAAACTATTCAAAGGCCAAATTGCAATTCTTTTGTTGTATTGTATGCGCCAATAACAAATTGCCGTTCTCTCCGATCTCTCTTGTTTTTGTTGCTGACGCCGTTCGTCGACGATTCTGTTGTTGTTGCAATGCAAAATGCTTGAGGCAACTGGAATTTGCTAAGTGCACCGCTATTGTTGAATGTTATTTAGACGATTGTCATCCAATTGGAAGCTTCTAGTCTGCGTCATTCGTGGAGACACACTAATATTTTCGCTGGTTGTTTTATATAGTTTTGTTTAAATCACTTATATTTCACAATCATTGGAAAAAGTCTCGCATTCCGTTTAGGAACGTTCTCTGAACGATTTTTGTTGGTACAACACGCGAGGCACTCACGTCCGTTTTCAGCGAAATTGAAAAAATTTCTGACGTCGCTTTTATTTTGCTATGTATAAAAATAAGAGAGAGCCGGAGAGCGGGAGAATTTTAAATAGAGATGTTAGACTCTCAATACTAGCTTCGATTTTATAGTTTCGATTAATATCGATAGAAGGCAAACTCAAATAACGGCCACACTTAATGCTGGCGCTTAGCAACACTGACTTTTTGGGAGTAAAAAAAAAAGTGAAGCCCAAACATTGTCTGAAAAAATTAAATTTTGTATTAAATCTCAGCAAAAAAGTATTTAATATTAACAGATCAGGAAAACATGGCCAACGTGGAGTCTATGATTGTTGAGGAAAAGACGCATGTCAAGCAGATCGACCGCGAGAAGGTTTGTTTGGTCGACCGGCGGGGGATGCAATGTTTACCTCGTTTTTTATCTTAAACTTACATGCTTTTTCGTTTTTTTTTAGACTTGCCCCCTGCTTCTTCGGGTATTCTGTTCCACGGGACGGCACCACTCCGTCTCCGAGTACACTTTTGGCAATGTGCCTACCAATGAACTGCAGATCTACACCTGGCAGGATGCCACCCTACATGAACTAACTTCCCTAGTACGCGATGTTAATCCTGATACCAGAAAAAAGGGAACCTACTTCGATTTTGCTGTTGTGTACCCCAACTTCCGGAATAATCACTTTCAGATGCGAGAAATTGGAGTGACCTGCACCGGCCAAAAAGGTATTGATGATAATAAGACTCTAGCTCAGGCAAAATTCTGCATTGGAGACTTCCTGGACATCTCGATAACGCCGCCCAACCGCCTGCCGCCCACTGCCAGGCGCCAGCGTCCATACTGATGCCTCTTCACAATCTATTCTAATCATTTTTAATCTTTCACTTGACACTCAATGGAGTATGGAAATAATTATAAGTGGAATACAAGTAAGAAGACTTATGAGCTGATTGACTTATGGGACTATATGTGCTGGGGAGTATCAGTTCCTGTAGATGCCATTCGGGCGCTTCGACTTCTTCTTGCCCAACTGCGTCATATCGATTTCCAGGCCGTTGGGCAGGACTGCGCGGTTCTCTTCATAGTTGATGAAACCATTCTCCTGCAGTTCATCCTCGTTATTGCGGTTGTTGGGATCGCATTTGATGCCCGTCTCGTAGTGGTACTCTCGTTTGTTGCCATCTGGATCAACGTAGCCATAGGTGCCCCTATTGAAAGAGATTTATTCGAAGGTTATACTTATACAAAAGCATCTGAAGTTTCCGCTCTACTCACTTGGTGATGCAATCGGTGCCGATCAACTCCTCCTTGAAGGAGCCATCGTCGTTCTCGTATCCCCAGGTGATGCTGCCATCTTCGTTCTCCTCGCGCCACTTGCGAATGGTCTGGGAAACGGGTTGCCGCCGACGCTGCTGCTGCTGGTCAACGCGATCGTCTTGCAGTTGATTCTGGTCGATGATGGGACGTGGTTGTACGGGCTTAGGTCTGGGCCTGGCCACGGGTTGTGGTGCTGGTGGCTCAGGGCGCAGGACAGCGGCAGTTGCTGGTCTCGTTCGGATCACAGCCACTCGCTGGGGCTGTGGTGGAGGTGGTGGTGGCGCTGCTGCTGTAGGTGTTGGTCGCTCCAAGCCGAATCTCTGCGAGTTCTCAAACCGGCCGATGCCAAAGTCGTTGAAGGCGGCGGGACGGTTCAAAGGACTTGGAATTGAGGGACGTTCGGCTGGGAAGCGTGCAGGAGCTGGCAAGATGGCAGCTGGTTGAGAGTCTTCGGTCTGGAGGAACTGCTGAACTGGCGAGGGCTGCTCAACGGGTTGCTGGCCTGCCAGGAAGGCGGCAGCTGCCTGTTGGAATTGCGATTGCTGGGACTGTGCAAGCTGCTGCTCCCGCAAAAGATTTGGCAGATATGGCTCGGGTTGTTCGTCCTCCGCCGACTCCGTTACAGGACGTGGCTCTTCAAGAACTACGCGTTGCGTTACTGCGGGCAGGATAGCATTTTGCTGACGCAGGGAAGCTCCTGGACGACGCACTCGCAATACAGGCTGCCGGTGGGGCAGTGGACCAGGTGAAGCCACCGCTCCGGGAATACTCAGTCGCTGGGGATAGTTTTGGGCCTCGGCCAAAGCGAGGGCGCTGCAAACGAGCTGAAATCAAATGGAAGTCATTAGTTCAGTCCATAAAAGGATTAAGTGTGCCAACCGCCGGAACAAGGCGTTGCTGCCGTTTTGCCAAAGGCATGCCACACGTGGCCAATTTGCCACTACCTGGTATCTCGCTTAAGGCAATGCCCCTCTTAATTATTATTTTTGGCTTGGTGTTTTGCCAGCAACTTCTTAGAATTTTCTTCACTTCGCGACGGTTTTGGTGGGTGGAAAACCCCATCCAATTTGGTAAATGTAATCCAATCTTAATTGGCTAATGATTTTGTAAGAAGGCAAGAAAAATATCTGAATATAATATTAAAAGTAGATATTAAGATATTTCTGAGTTGGTTTTTAAGCCATTGATTAAAGAAAAAGGTGCCTATAGAAATTCAATTATAATTAGTTGCCAAATGCGATTTATTCCGCAAATTGTTTACGGTAGATAGTTAACTTTTTAATTACTTAGCATTTCACTATCATTAGTAATAAAATTTGGGACTCGTAAAAAGCTCCCGACTTGAAGTCACACTTTTGTGGCACTTCTTGGTTAGCTGCTCACCTCACACCTTCGTAAACTGGTTTACAATTTTATCAACCGCTTATATACTGCGGCAGCAATTTGTAATTGTAACTGTGTGACGGTGGCAACAACAATTGTGGCAGCAATACTGTAATGGCTGTAAATGTGGAACATAAAACAAATCGCGATTTCTGCCCCGCCTCGCTGCCGATCGATCATAAAAGCCGAATCCAAAGACCAAGACAAGCCAAAGCCGAAAAGTAAGACCAAAAACAGAAGAAAAACGAAAACATTTCAAACTTTGCCGTCTGGGTTGCGTAATTTGCATGGCCGGAGTTATGCGACGTTAGTGGCATGTAGCATGTGGCAAGCACATTAGCGAAAAGTTTCCGGTTCGCAAAAGAAGTCAAAGTCTAGGACAAGTGACCGACCGACCGACCAATCGCCTAGTCGTATACGTTATTTTACCACTATTTCAGTGTGTCAACTTTTAATTAGTAGCTGCCTCTATTATTACACAATTCTAAGGCAGGGTTGCGGGAGGTATTTAGCCGGCTTATGACTTTTCGCTTTTGGTTTCGGTTTCCATCTGGTCACAGATCAGATAACTTTTTGCTCCACTTTACCGGTTAGCTTATATAAAGGAATTGCTACTTTGGGAAGTAAATAAAACTCGATACGGAATTATGTTTTCCATTAGAGTTCTTGACACGATCAGGAAATATGAGTAGGGTATTATAATGGAATTATTGTGAATTATTAATGGGTAGATTCCAAAAATAAATGAATACAGTTTCCTATCTATAGATAGGTTTTATATAGAAGTGATCAATGAAAGTCACAACTACTAAGAACTTCTTAACTGAGTGACCTATTAATCTTGGCATATTTAAAGCCATGTCTTATAAAGCCATCAATTCCTCAAGGTAATAGTTATTTTTATATATAAAGTAACCATTTCCTAGTACAGCTAAAAGGCAGTTCAGCCTTAACTGTCGCCCATAATTCAATTGTTCAAACATGAATAACTATTACAGGTTATAATAATCAATGGAATCAATGAAGCCTTTGGCTCATGCAGATTTTTGTTATGCATGCAACAGTCAACACATTTTTCTGCCATTATCGTTGTTGTTGGCTGTGCTATTATTATTATCCATTACTTTCCTGTATCTGAGCCATTGGCTTTGTTTTTTAGTTTGTTTGTATTGGAGACCATTCAAGCCGAACATTCCAGTGGCCAGCGGCTTGGCTGGCTGCCCAAACTACCTGGTCAAGTGAACTACTTGGCTTTTTGAAATTAATGAAAAGCCAAGCGAGATAGAGACAGAAAGAGAAAAAAAACTTCGCAAGGCCTGGCAGACACTTGCAGCTATTTATTTGGGTGCATTGCTCGGCAGGGGAACTTGATTTGATTTAATTGCTTTTATGACTCCGCCTTGCGTCTGCGTCTCAGTTCAAGGAAACCGAAAAATTTTGTAGTCATATGTGTGTAACTGTATGTAATGGTAGGTGTTCCCAACTTGCAACTCCCATGTCGAATCTGAAACCAAACCAGGTGAAGTCTCAGGCCAAGCCCAGGTGGATAAAGGCGTGGGTGTTCCTCTGGCGGAGCATCATCATCATCATCACCATCATTGTAATCAGGGAAAGTCAACAAAAGATGTTTATGCTCCTGATGATAATAGTAGTCCATCTTCATTAGTAACAATAACTTGGCTAAGGACTTTTGGCCCGGCCTTGACTGTCCAATGGCCATTGACCGTACGAACAATCGTAATGAAATCGAAAATATGTCCTATGCCAGAGTCAGGCATTCGCGGCATATGTTTTTTTCCTCCTCCTCGAGCTGGCCGGACTCGTTGAGCTGGAATAGTTGTCAGTGCACTTTCGAGCCGGCTTCGGTCTCAAATATGTAACACTTTATGCATGTATAAAAGGCTTATTTATGCAGGCATATATATACATATATATATATATATATATGTACCCGTTCATTACGTAATCCCAGCACAATACGCCCAAATGCGTCTTACTGTGGAAAAGTATCTGTATCTCAAGCTGAATCTGCATCTGTAGCTACTAAAATGAATGGAGTGTGCGTGCCGAGAATTTGCATCGCCTTGGGTGCGTTTTGTGGATCCCAATCGCCTATAACTAGTTATTAGCTGCGGCCACCAACGACCTTGATACACATAATCGCAGCTCGCACAAAATAACGTGTCGTGACGAACTGCGCCCGAACAATAAATACCCTCCCAACAAAATTACCGGCAAATTGAGTGTTTCTTGTCATTAACAATTCATTTTCTGCTCTACATTTTTGGCAAGCTCATTAGGTCGTTTCCATAATTTGGCCAAGTCAATCAATCAATCAGGCAAAAGCATGAAAATCTGATTAGAAACGGTGATTTATGGAGTTTTCAAGACTTTTTTTTAGGTTTGTTCAGTTCAGAAGAATAGATGTTTTAAGTTTAAAAGTATTTAAAGAAAATTGTATTCCATAAAGTTTGGTATTCAGTGTTTGAGGAAGAGAATTCTTAAGAATTTGTAGTTTTTAATCACATTTAGTTCCTTTTGTTGGAGTTAATTAAACCAATTAATCAATTAAATGTATTCTACAAAAATAAATATAAATAAGCATAGACAAAGACCATTATTTACTTAAATATTAAAAACTCATTAAGGAACCAAACTTTGTAAAAGGTTTCTTTTTCCTGTTTGTTTTGATTGATTTTGGGTATTGAATAGCATATAATTATATTTATTTATAATCATAACTGACAATTCATCAGCTTTGAGCAGTAGCAATAGTCTTTGATAAATCTTAGCTTAACAACAAATTGCACTTAAGTCAATTGTGAGCCAATTTCGCGAGCCCAACATTCAGGTTAATAATGGAGGTTGGGGGGAATTTTGCAAAGTTAAGGCGGAGTTGGGCTTAAAGCCAACAAATGCTCGTTAAAGTTTCTGACCCGAGGGCTTGGTTTGGTAATTCCTCAAAAACGAAATTCTTTGGGCACACAGTGCAAGACAATTGCTTAGTGATTGTATCGCATATTTAAGATACGAATTCCTTTGTTTTTTTTTGTCCGATCTTTAATGGTTTTATGATGCCAAATCGACTAAAATGTCAATTGGCCAGCGTTAATTGCTAATTGCATTGCATTGAGACAAAGGTAAACACAACTCGCGAACACTTTCTATAAAATGCAAATACTCGTAAATAGCAATGTCTCTATCTGAGATCGTATGTGAGTCTTAAGCTGGCAACCGAACGACCTTGATAGCTGCATATTTATGATTCACTAGCATGCTTAAACGGTGACATGACCGAGAACACTCAACACATTTGATCCTTGTTTTGGATTTTTCATCTTAACTTACCGCAATTAATTGGAATTTCATGATGGATCGGGGGTAGATATCTCCTCTTCACTTTACTATCCCTTTTGTAACACTTCCGGCAGACGAAAAGAAAGTACTATTTATTCACAGAGAGAACAGACTTATCCGCAGGGCAAGGCAACCTGGTACTTCTTAGCCAAGTGTTGATCGCTCAAATGTTGGGCCCGCCAGGTGCGCAGGCGGCTTTATAGCTCCAGCTCCAACGCCATTCAGAGCTTTGGCCAGTAGCGGAAAATTTATGTGTGAGGTGTGTGTTTGGCATTGCTATGCAATAAATATGACCAAGCCGAAAGTGGAGCGCATCTCTCGATGAAGTAACGAAAGTGACAGGGCAGCCTGCTTTACTTTTTTTTTTTTCCATTTTTGCACTCTTTTGTGGACATGAGAATGGTTGGACTCGATCAGCTCTGGGAACGTGATTAAGTTTTAAATTACTTTTACCGCCTTTAACGGTCGTCTCTTGAATTTAACAAGCTGGCAACGCTTGAACTCAAGCTTAAAGTTGAAGTTTACTAAACGAAAGTCTAGCCAACAGAGCGTATGCGCAATGGTGGGTGTATTAGCTAAGTATGTTTATGGTATCATTTTCTAGTAAGGTTTCTAACCATTATTCTTTATAGGAACTCATTTTTAAAAACTTATCAATTTTGCATATCATAACAATACTGCGTTTTTAATGCAATGAAAGTATAAATAATAAATCATATCAATAAAATAAAATCATAGTTAATGGTAGAATGAGAAAAACGATTTTAGTGCGGGTGCATAAAGTCCCCCCATATAGGTCCAATATATATCACAGTTAGGCATGTCAAAACGGAAAGTCAGCTCTAGTTCCTCTATAAAAATAAAGTCCAATTCCAGCTCTAAGTTATTCCACATCCTTCATAAGACTGATGGCAATGGCGCCAATCAGGCCACAAACACCCATAACATTCAAGGGCAGCAGGGGATCAATGTGCTCCTGTGGAGAGGAAACCAAACCAATGGATTGCTTAAATGAAGATAATGGAGGTAAACGATTTGAGAACCCACCAGTTGCCAGAGGAAGGGCACAAGGATTAGGGCCACGCCAGATGCCAGGTTGCCCATGCCAACGCCAAAGTTTCGAACGATTGTGGGATATTGCATCGCAGTGTAGGTTGGTATGATGGCATTGTTGGCTCCAATGAGGCACTTGGCTGGGGAGATCATTAACATAAATGGATTGTTATTAAATAGATAGAAGGTACCTCACCTATGGTGGCCAGAGCAATCACTCCCGTTTGATTTGGCATTAGATTGGTAGCTAGACAGCAAAGACCCGGCAGCAGCATGTAACCAATAAGACTTCGTCGGATGCCAACCTTCAAAACCACCAGGATGCTGATGCAGATAGAAACGGCCTCCACAGTTCCAGCCACGGCACTATTGATGTAGATATTTCCACCCAAATTGTTCAAATGCAATGTAAGACCAAAGTAGATGATAATCAAGGTGAGCCAGATGACCAACGTTAGGCAAGTGGTGCGCCAGTATTTGGCGCTGAATACCACCATCAGGGGATTCACAGGGCCATTAGAACTTAGATCTGGTGCATCCGCTTCAGCTGCCTTCACTTCTTCGATTGTTGGTTCCTGGGGAGATTGGACCGCCCGCGGTACCGCTGCCTCGAGTGTCTTGCGATAGTTATTGGGCAAAGTAGCGGTAGTTCCATTCATTTTGGCCGCTCGCTCAATTAGTCCGCACAACTCATCCAACCGGCCCTGGGCCAATAGCCAACGGGGTGACTCCGGCAGCCAGAACCTGAAAAGGAATTGGAATGAGCGGTGAGAATCAATGTCCATGTCCTGGTATTTTATTGGCTGTTAGGAATTTTTTCATTTGATTTCAAAAGCGGTTAGCTAATGTGGCTGCCTTTGGCCTGCTTGGTACCCAAGGATAAACACTGAGGAATGTCCTGAACAGGGGTTTCTTTGTCCCTGCCGGAATCTAATTGATCCCACGCATTGTGTTGTGTTCGGTTTTCTGTTGTCAATTCATTTAGTTGACTGCCTGCTAAAAATGTTTACGCTTTGAAGTTGAAATGTGTTCGGAAAAGGGCAACAAAAAGAAGTAACATTTCGAAACTACGCTTTCGTCTTCAAGATAATCTGATTTAATCCAGGGATTAGCTAGTTTTTTTCTGCTTTTTTGTTAAATCTAAACAATTTAAATACTCTCTAGGCTTTAATTAGTAGTTAAACTTATTAACTTTTAATTGTATATATGCATAAAAATCAGTTCAATTATGTGCCATGTAAAAAAATATGAAAAATAATAAACAAATATTTCTGTTGATTAAAGGAAGTACTAACTATGATTGCAATTACATTAATCTAATTAGTAAATAAATATCATTTAGACATTAATAAAAAACTAAGCTTAAACAAAGTGCACAGCACACAAGACCTCGATTTCCCTTTAGCTGATTTTCCCATTACAAAATAAGTGCCTCATAATCAAAATGACCAGCCCGAGGATGCCACCAAAGAACTTACCAAATGCTGAGCATGATTAGCCATGGAAAAGAGATGGCCAGCTGTAGATGACGCCAGTCGCGGATGAGGTAGGCCAGGCCGGCAGAGAGGACATAGGAGATGGCTACGGGCAGAATGTTGAGAATGCCGATTACAGTGCGCCACTTGCCGGAGACCAGCTCTACAACCAGCACGAAGCTCACAACAGTCACGGTCATTGATGCGAATCCAATTATAACACGTAGCGACATGAACATGGCCACCGATGTTGAGAAGGCCAAAATTCCACCTGCAAGCGGAGAGCAAGAGTACCCAGTTGGTGGCCAAATGGGTTGGCCAGGGGGATGGCGGAATGTCAGTGGCAAGGTCGGGCACGTAAATAAGAGTGTAAAGTCAATTAAAATCCCAGCCGGGCCACAGAGAGAGAACAGGACAAATGCAAATGCAGCTGTTAGCCCAACGATTCACGGACAAAGCTGCATATAAATGACAATTAGAAAATGAATCCCACTCAAATTGCCATGGTCAAAGGATTCCTCATCCGACAGGCCCTACATTTCTTCTTTTTTTTTTTGACTGTTGCAATTTTCCCTTTATGATCTACACAGGCCAAAATGGGATGTAACATGTTACATCAAGGACATCAATCCACAAGAAATATAAACATAATTACTGTGAAGTTTCGTTAATCATTAAGAATGTGAATTTAGTTTTGTTTATGATAAGAACTTTATCTTCTAAAAATGTACCAGTTTATGATTTTCCTGTTTTCTTTCTTCATGTGAAGTAATTACCTTCCTTATTAATTTTAAGTTCTTACTCACCAAATACACTCTGAATAGTGACGAATGCCATCAGAGTATGCCTTCTCCCAAATCTGTCCGATATCCAACCGCTAAGTACAGCTCCCGCCGCCGCACCCACCAGGAAGCAGGTCTCCACCAGGCTAAGAATGTCCCGTCCGCACACCAACTCGAACTCCTGCACCAGAGTCTTGGCCGTACCCTCCTCGTCGGAGAACTCAAAGTGCCGGCACTGCCTGTACCCCAACTCGGTGCCATTTGCCGGCCAATTGATCAACTCGATTGTCCTCGTAAGACACTTGGGAATAATCTATATCCAGAAGGAGACAGCCATTGGAAGACTGGCTAATATTCCGCCATTCGGAGACACTCATCTGCAGGAGGTTGTCCGGTCGGGCACACCAAAAGTCTTTGGAAGCAGTCTATAAGAAAAGTTTGTTCTTAGTGTTTTATATTTATGTATCTCTTTTTTTAACGTTAATTCTTTATATAATTTTAAGTTTGAATAAACGTTGATAATAGCTTAATGATAATGGCATTCATATGTTTGAACAGAAGTCGGATGCAGACCTTTTACCTAACACTTCTATCTTTATTTTACCTAATTAACTTGCTCTCCAGATTGCACTTTTAATGTCTGATAAGGCCATGAATTTATCACCTTTTAATAACATGCAGATTGTGATTTATAATCTAGACATTTTAAAACTTGATTCTGAAATTAAAACAAACTGTAGCATTTGTCCAAGAGAGTCACAAAGCAATTATGCCAGCTATCATAAGCTCATAAATAACTTTGCATATAAAAATGCCATTAAAAATCGAAGAAACCGCTTTTTCTAAGAATTTCAAGTTTTCATAGGAACACTGATGTTTTTGAATGTTTTGGCATTCGATTCACGTTTGCAATTACGTGGACTACATAAGACATTACCTTTTCCTAACTTCCAAAACAACCAATCAAAGTTTCACTTCGAAGTTGCTGTGTTCGAGTCATAAATCGAATCGGAGATCAGGCAGTTCGGCTATATTTTTAACCAGACACAATTTAAATCGGTAGTAAACCGTTTAAATTTCTTCCGCATGTTGATTGCGGTTAACTTGTAGTTAGTTTGCTTACAGCAGCAGACCCATTTGTCATTTGGGTTTCGATTGCGAATGTTTCGTGACAGGTTAACACGGTTGAAATTACTGAGTGTTGTTACAAACACGAACAGAAATGTGCGGCCATCTGATTGATGATCGAATCAATGTAAGCGGCTTATCAATCGCGGGTTGTTCACCACCACCCACTTTGATTATACACTCCGCCTTCCCTCCAATAAACAACTATATACGAGTATATACAACTTACAACAGGTTGATAGCCTCGGCCGACATTGAACGTGCCTCAATTAAACATTTAGTATGCGCTCCGAGGAAATGGTTTCAAGTTCAAGTTGAAGTGTAACAAGAAAGCGAAACATTTTCAATAATTAATGGCAGTGAGTGGTAAAAGTTGAGCTTTTCTGGTTAGTTTGAGGGTTTCCTTATTTCTTTTTTTTTTTGTCAGGTTTATGGTGGTGATCGCGTGGCAGGCTCTGATGTCATTTGTGGCCGCCGTGGCAGTTGTTCTGTTGCCCGTCGGTTACATGTCACGTTTCAGGCATTTGCATAGCGAAACAGACTCTCGACCAACAATGGAATTCTGTGCCACAACGTGGGCAGTACTCGACTACATGGGCCACATAAATTTCGCTTGATAAATCGGTCCACAGATATGCACGAGCTGCACCTGAGAGTGCGCTTTATTCTAATGACAGGCAGGCTGGCTGGCTAGCAAGCACACTGGGCTAGGATTTAATTATCTATAACCCTTGAGGAATAATCTAATTTCGAGTACTATTTTTCACTTATTTTTTTATTGATTTTTAATGACTAATTCTTTGGAAGCCACCATAAAGGGGATTTACCAGGTCAAGCACCCTGACTAAGTGTTTGCTTTATGGAAATCTCAATTTAGATATTCAACTTGTGGCACGATTAGTGACAATACATGAACTATTGTTTCGGAATAAGACAATGACAAATCCGTAATTGATTGGTTAGGAAAAGTTTAGTTCAATTTGCATTCAATTGGTTGGGTGTCAGTTAAGTTTATTAACTTAAGCTTGGAATGGGTATGATTTCCTGAATCCTTATACTTTATTATTAACCTTTGTAATCAGCTGCTTTTAATCATAACCTTTTTCTCTTGAATGCTATAAAAAATCTCAGGTCAGCAACCTAGTCGTACTATTGGATATGAATATTGCAATGACATACTCGTAAATGTAATTAATTGGTTTGGAATATTTAAATTCATTTTGCCATTAATTTATTATAGACTTGAGTTTATATTTCTTATATCTTCGGAATTTCTAGGATTTATTATCAATTTTAATTAAACTAAATTTATTCTATCCAATAAAAAAAGGCTTGCCTTTAAAATATATGCATCCATCTAGCCTTCTGAGAGATTTTCTGATTATACGAAACCAGAAATTTAAATATAGTACAAAGTATAGTATAGCTCTCATGGGTGATTGTTAACTTAATTGCCACAGGGTCATCTAGTGACCCTAGAAAGTATTCAAATTACTATTTTAAAATCAGAGTTTCAATCCAATTTGGTTTCACCAGGTGATTTGAGACCAGTGTGACTGATAAAAGTGTTTCTCAGCATTTTATTATTATTGTTTAATTAATATATTTAGACAGTTTGTTAGCGGTCAATATTGGCCTGTGGCAGAGTGTAACCTTTCGAAGGCAACCTTGGACTGCAAAACCATCGACACCAACAGCAACCAACTGATATGGATCACAGTTGGGAGTGGAAACTAATTGAAAAGTCTTGGCAGTACGGTGGGAAATCGTGTTGTCATGGTGTCAGACCGCAGAGCCTTAAACCACTAAGCTGTCGTCTTCATAATAATAAATAACACAAAAGCGTGCAATTTGCGGATTTAGCCAATTAAGATAAGGTAATCCAACACGAAGACTTTGTCAAATATTCTGCCATTAAATCAGTGCAAACAATTCACCGACTTTTCGGGGTGCTGGATGGCGGTTAAGTTGAGAGATAACTCGTTTCAGCCTAAGCCAGTTCAAATTTGTTATTACTCCACAGGCAATTATTGTGTGTCAATAATTAAGTCAGAAGTGGAACGATTAAGGTGGAAGAGGCTAAGGCGCATTTTATTCTCATGAGTAGCTAAGTAGATTTAAGATATTTTAAAGTTAAACAGGTGTTGCTAAACAAATAGCCACTTTTATGTTTTAATTTTAAAATAAAAGCTTTCTTCATAAAAATCAAATAAAATATTTATATATCTAAACCACAACTGGTTTTTTTTATAAATTAAAAATGAGACCTTCATTGTTTCTCCTACACATAAATCTTTGTAAAACATTCAGTTCAATAAACACATTTTTTTGGGATGGCAATTAAAAGTACTTAATATTCCCGGTTGCAAATTCGCTCAATGAAACTGTATCTTTTGCGGATCAGTAGGTAGCTGCAAACCTCATAATCAATTGAGAGCGCCAACACGGGCAACAGGTTTAAAACACAGATACAAACTTATACACACACACACCTGCAATCGGAGTCACTTGAATAGACGTTATCACGAGAACCCGCTGATAACTGACATTGGGGGAGGCTCTATTTAAAGGTGGGCAAACACAGAACCTTGTCAATTGCGGTTGCGTTGTTTTTTAGTTGTCTCTGTCTGAGCAATGGCCAGAACCGATGGGCACATGTGGCAGAAAGGCGATGGAGCGCAACGTTGGCTCAAGTTAGTTGGTTGCTTGGTGGGTCTAAGGCCGAGCAATCAACTTGACTTACCTGGAACACATAGACGAATATGTGAAATGTACAGATGGCCTGGAAGATTGAGAGTAGAGCACACCAACGACCCTGCCAGGGTGTTAGACAGCCCAAGAGTCGTTCCAGTAATTTGGTATGCAACTGATCTAGCTCTTCCATATGGCCAGGTTCCAACATTGGCGAGGCCTCGCCTGATCTCAAATCCGTTAGCTCCATTTTGGCCCGGTTCAAATTGCAACCGTTTAGGTCTTGCGATGCAAGTCAACTGAGTTAGAATGTTGACTTTCGAAAAAAATATATCTTATGAATTTCAAATTGGTTTCGGATGCAGAATTTCAGCTCTGAGGTGTCGAGAGCTGAGAGTGCGTAATGACCGAGAGATTCGACCGGGTCTCAGGTTTTTATGCAGGCGCGGCGTTATTTCAGATTTCTGTGGGGGCCCTGAGATAATAATGTCCAAAAAGCACCGTGATCTTATGATAGCCAAATTACTTGTTAACTCTGTCTTCACAGACCCCGGCTAAGTGAGTCATTAAAGAATCACTTGATGACTTGATAACTTTATACCGACGACCTTTCCGTGGGAGTGCCTTGACCAACTCCTCCCACAAGGTTGATGTACACTCTGCGACGCGACAATTTCATTTGGTGTATCTGGCAAACATAAAGATATCTTTATAGAACCGAAACTTTCTTTAGTTCGGCACTCGTAATCTTATCTTCGCCACTGTCTATACTTGATTGGTTCATGTAAATATAGAGGATTCTTTAACAATTGCTTATTGTTTGTCTTTCTAAGATAACATTATGCTTATCAAGGAAAAATATGGCACAGAAGCAATCAAATTAGGACCAAGTCGCATGCATTAAGTGTTATCAAAAGTGCTTAGTTATTGTCTATTCTATTAAGTGGCAGAAGATGATTAAAAAATACTTTTATAGTTCCAGGTGATAAAAGGTTTTATGATTATTTTGATTTACTGGGTTGGACCAGAAATCTCTGGACATTTAAAAGCTATAAAAATGATACCAATATTGGTATCTGTTTTATTAGTTTCGAAAAATTAAACTGACTAAACACTTGCTGCCTCTTGCATCACACTACTTCCTAAGGTTAACCAATCTCTATATACTTAATCCCCAATCTATAAGCCACCAATTGGTATAATTAACCTCTGCAAAATAACTGAGCTCAGATGGTCGAACTTCTTGGGTTCTTGAATGACCATTGCAGTAGCCATTGGTTCTGACCAAGCTCTATTAGCCACCGATCCACCGATCCGTCGATCGTGTGTGTCAAGGTCCCGTGTGGTTTTTTTTTTTTTCTTAGTTCCCTTCGATTTGGGGTTACTTTTTATTTGAGTGGGACATTAGCACGATAGTCGCTGATTACCTATGATTACCTATATCATAGGCGTCTCAAACTGTAGGCAAATGATGCACACGCAACCTACCGCGCCGATAAATGGATCCCAAGTGGCTGTGACAGCCTCCCTGAAAGTTGGTCAAAGGTGCTTGAAGGTCGCAAAATGCTTTTTGGAGAGGCATTTCAAACTGTTCATTGGCAAAAAAAAGGTTGAGAGCTAAGTGGGTTTGAAAAAATACATATGGCCAAAATCGGACATGCGTGCTCCGTCAGTCAGCCAACTCAAGTGCTTGCTCTCGAAAACCTTATCAATTGTTTTGTTCATTTCTTGTTTTGGTTATAATTCATCGTTACTCATTTTAAAGCAAACTCATTTTCTGATAATATTTTGTAATAGCAGACTCTCTTTCGCTTTTCACTCGCCAATTACTTCATTGTCAACACCTCGCATCGAGGAGATACATTTACACGCAACCAATTAGCCTCCCATTATTAGTGCAAATCACTAACAGACTTTACAGCTATCAATCAATTGCACAATGTTTTCTTCCGGTCGGAATACCCCCAACTTCCCCGGAGTTCCGGGGGGTGGGTTTACCTACCAAATTATTGGATTTTGATGTTTTTGGCGACGCAATCAACTGGGCAAATATTTGCCAAGCCATAAACACCGAAACTCACCTGGAAGACAAACATGAACAGGTGAAAAGTGGTGGGCAACTGGAATAGGCAGAGCAGCAGGGTCCACATAAAGCTCCAGCGGGTGTAGTGTCCCAGGAAATTAGATATCACATCACTGTCCGCATCCTGGCTAAGGTCCTTGCCAGGCGGCTGTTCTCTCTGCTGCTCCGTTGCCGTAGATGGCTTCTTTAGGTCCTCGGAATAGCGACGAAAGTCCAATGCTATGACACTGATTTCCGGGGTCTTTGGGCCGGGCCTTGTCTCACGATATCCGCCATAGAGGTTTGCCTCCAGGCTGCCCCTGCCCTTGTCCCGCGGTCCGCCCACGCAATCGAAATTCAGGGAACCGCGACGCAGCACGCCACTCATATCGATGAGTCTTGTTAGTCAGTTAAACGATATCTAACGATTTCCCAATATACTTCCGATTTTATTACTCCACTTGTTTTCTTTAGCGCGAATCGATCGATTGGAAATGGTTAAAAACCGCGACGATCGTTAGTATCTCAAACGTCGGCGTCGATCTGGAACCGTTAAAAGTTCGGTGGCTCTGTTATATGCACTCTGTAAATCTGCAAAAGAGCGAAAGCTAACCGCAAAAGGCATTGCCAGTATCGAAAAAGCTTAACTTTAAGCTTCGACTACCCCACGATCAACCAACTTGGCATAGGCCTTTTGAGAGCTTTTGCTCGACTTGAGTGAGTTATGCCCTGGGGAAACCTTCCCCTGTTTAATATTCATAAACTTTGTTTGAATTTTTATTTATTTATTTATATTTTATTTTGACACTATAATTGCGTTTGCTTTGGTAATTTTGATTTTACAACAATTTTCATAAATTTATTCAAGTGTTTTCCGCTCAACACTCTGCGAGCAAGTCAACTCTTACTCCAACTTAAGAATTAATTAAATTTCTGTTTTAGATTCGGGTATACCGTTTATTTGAAGCTTAAAAAAATCTCTTACTTATGACAAATACATAACAAAGCTGTTTCGATCTTAGCGGGTAAGTACAGTAGGCAACAAAAATTGATGTAAAAATATAATAAAATTATGCAAAAATAAAATACAAAATCAAAAAAAATGAGCAAATAACAACTTGGGTAGGTAAGTACAACAAGTAATTCAACAGGTTTGCATTTTCTAATTTGATTGATTTTTATCATTTGTTTTTGTTTTTGTTTTTTTTTACTACATATACATACACAAACGCACACATATCCATATACACATAATTGTATACATTGTTAAATGCATTATATTGGAAATTGATTTTATTTTTTGTTCATATATATATATATATATATATTCTTTGATTTCTCCAAAAAACAATAAAACTCCTTGTATGCTCACAAACAGACATACGAATATATACAAATCCATAATTGACCGATTACTTAGAGGCTGCTGATCTTTCTTTTTCTTTTTTTGTATATACGTTTTTTTGGGGGTTAGACTAAGGATTAATTGACTACAATTACTAGAGATTACAATTTGTCGCTTAAATCTGCCATTCTCATTTCCCTGGAAGATTTAGCTGCTGTGGCTAATTGATCTCGTATTTTGGAAAACATTTATTAATAGACAACAAGAAGACGACGACGACGACGACGAGATTATGCATACGTTGAGATATTGACAAGACATATTGACAACATTATAATTTGTGTTTTTCCTTGATTTGTAATTGTGTGAACTTTTGATTCGTTTTGTAGTTAAATAACCAATACACTTACTGTAGCGCTTGGTAATCGGTTTAATTTACTGGGTAGTTTCAAAAATTTGTATTTAATAAACTTTGCCTAGGGAGGTGCCAATTGTTTAAGTCAATTTAGAAAATAAACAGAGTAAAATTGATTATTAATAACGATTGCAATCTTTCAAAGCACTAAGAAAAGAGTTAAGTATATCAATAAACTAAATATATAAACTCCCATTGCAAATCCTCCCTAAGATTGGGTCAAGTTTATTACCTTCGATGGGAACCGAAGAACTTAAGCTACTTCGAGTGTTTTCTGGTTGTGTTTTGTGTATTTTGTTTGTTTGTGTGTTTTCAGTACTTAGACTATGACATAAGCTACAAGCCATTGTTGTTAGTTAATTGTTAAGATACATACTCACTACGTGCTAAGCAAACAAGGTCCTGCCTGACATGTGACATTCTCTAGCGAATTGGCATTACTCTTGGACATTTATCATATCGGATAGTTACCATAAATTTAAGGTGGCTTCAGGCGGTGGATATGTCGAGGGGAGGGCGCGTGGCAGGTTTATGGGGTTAAGTGGGGGCACAAAAAAGACAGCATCTGCATTGGCTACGCTGACTTCTAATCGTTATACTTTGGACCAGCCAAAATACTTTGTTCCTTGCGGGCTGAGCAGTGGTTCGGAGTGGCATTAGCGGTCATTACACCTGCTTGGCGGCACTGGTATTGGCGGTATTGGTGCCACCTTGGTTTTCAACCTTCGAACGCACTGCGGTCTCAGGCAGGAAGAGTACTACAAAGCCACCAAAGATACTCCAGGCGGTCAGTAGGGTCATCAAAAGGTGGCCCTCGATTTTGTTCTGGAAGATATATTAGTTTTAAGGATTAAAGGTTATCCTTCAGGAGTTATCTCTTAACTTACCAACAGCGACAGATAAGGTGTAAGGATCAAGGCCAACCCAGCTGCCACATTGCAGGCACCCACGCCCACATTGCGTATGGGCGTGGGATAGAGTTCCGCCGTATATACCGGCATTATGGTATTGCCCGCACTAATGGTGAACTTGCCCATCATCAGGAATGTGATCTTTAGCCAAAGGAGATCCGCATGCCCCTCGGTGATCGCCGCACAGCAGCAGGCGACGCCGGCACAGATCAAAGTGGCGCAGAAGAGCCATTTCTTGCCCACCTTGGTAATGATGTACATGGCCACGGCGATGGCGGGTATTTCGACTAGGCCAGCTAGCGCCTGTGGAAAAAGATGGACACCAAATGGGGGAATGAGAGGACGAGCAGGGCAAGTGAACAAGATGTCAACTGTCGGCGGGGCGCATTAAATCAAAGCGGCATCAAAGGTGCGCCCGTCGTTGTCAAAATAAATTATGCAATAAATTAGCTAAAAATCTAGTTGGTATGTCCATTGTAGAACGCTGGACAGTGGTGAGCAGTTAGCTCGAAAAAATACAAGAAAAATGTATCACTTTAATATTAACAACTAAATATATTATATAATATATTTAAGAATATTTTAAACATTTCAAAAAACATTCTAAAGAAATAATATTAATAGGTCACCTATATTAACAATTGCTTTAAAAATACCTGCACGTCAATCTTTTAACATGTCAATTTCCATTTTAAAATCTTTACCGTCCCACTTATTCCATTAGCTTTCTCGTGGCAAATAGAAAAACCAAACAAACATGGAGATCAGACAACATTAAGCGCTTTAGCTTTTTAAAACAATCAAATCCCGAACAAATGCCAAACATGTTTAGCATTTGGTGAATTGGGCATTCAAGGCCCGCCAGCACTGTGCTCAACATTCTGTTGGCCAACTGCCAGGTGGTTGGAGATGGCTAAGATGGCTGCGAGTGGCGCTGTGACCGCGGGAGGATTTATCTACTATATAGTGAATGAATAAGAGGTGGGTTGTGTGGAAGTGTGTAGGGGGCAGTAACATCATAATTCGATTGCAAACACATTTTCACACTGTCCAGCGGTCGAAGAACACTTGACATCGAACAGACAATCTTCAGTCATCGGCTGATGGAATTGCTGACAAATCCAATTAGGCGGCCATCAGCCTCAACGAATATTTTGTGGGCCACTTGACACTGGCTAAATGCTTGATTGATCCTATATGTTGACAAGATTTCGGATAAAGTTTTCGATGCCGTCGCCGATGATTTGCCTAAGTGGATTTCCCCTGCACAGCCCACGCTGCGTATACTTAATTCCCAGAAAAATCCAACTTACCGAATTCAAGTAAACATTGCCGCCAAAGGAGCTCATGTTGAGTATAATGCCATAGTAGACCAGATTCATGGTGAACCAGATGCAAAAGAAGCAAATGGAGATGCGTCGCAGGTAGCTGGAGCGGAACAGGTAGGTAACATCCTGCGTACTGCTCTCCTGCGTTGGCGGCGTCAACTGATAATCAGCGGGCAGCTGGCGACCATTGAACTTGGCGGCCGCCTCGATAATGCGACGAACTTCATCAATTCGACCTTTGACCAGCAGCCAGCGAGGCGATTCCGGCACCACAAACCTACCGAAAAAAAGAACAGATTTAAAAGAAATCAAAGGAAATTTAGTATAGCGTAGGAAACATGTGCCACGGCAATTATGCCACTCTGTTTATAGTGGGGGGAACACCCACGCGTTGTTTTGCTATTTATTCACAAGTCTATGATCTATATACACACATGTGTTTTTCTGCGATATTTTATGCTGTTTGTTTACCTGCCATATCGATCAAAGTCTTACCAGAGGAAACATAGGAAGATCCCCGGAATTCCGATGGACAGCTGCAGGCGTTGGTAGTCCTGAGTGAGATAGGCCAGGCCCGAGATGATCATATAAGAAATTGGCAGTGGAAACAGGTTGTACATCCCGGCGATGGTTCTCCACTTGCCATCCACATACTCGATGGCCAGAATCAGGCCGGAGTAGGTGACTGATACAGATACTAAGCCAAGCAGAGCGCGAAGTGTCAGATAAAGCTCAAAGGAGCTACAGATGTAGAGCCAGAGACCTGTTAGGGATATATAAATAAAGTTTTCTAATAAGACTTGCTGGTAATTTAGGAAATTATTTACGAAGTATTCTAAGATAAATAGAAATTGACATCCCACTTCATATATTACGTATACGTCTAGTTGTACTATATAATATCAACATAAACCAGAAGCCCCAATGAAAGTTAGTGCCATAATTAGCTCAAAAGTCAATTTACACACTTTAAGGCATTTGCCTAGTAATCCCCAAAAGCCTCGCAATCAAAAGCAAAGTCCGTACACGTGTCCACCCTCGATGGCAGTTCCTCATTAGTAATGTCCTTTCGAATGCAAATTTCAATTATACATTGTGAGAGATTTAATCAACAAGGACAACAAGGCTGGCAAGAGCCTGGCAGCCACAACTGCAGCTCGAGTGCCCAACCGACTACGACCACCTGACAGCCCGACCCCACAAAACCCGCAGAGAGCCACTCGATGTGCTCGTGTTGACCCCTCGACATGGCCAAGTTCACAGTCACCAGAGGAGGACATCGTCAGGGCCAATGTCGGTGTGACTTCCGCATGTGCAGGGGTCTCTATACATGTGCTGGTCGCTTGTGTATATATCTGTGGAATGGCCTTTATGCTTCGAAAGAGACACTCACCGAATATGGTCTGCAGCACGGCCGATATGAAGAGCATTGTCTTGCGCCCGAACTTGTCCGATAAATAGCCGGAGATAATACCACCTGTTGCCACGCCCAGCAGAAAGAACATCTCGGCCACGTTCTTTAGGTGCTCTTTCTCGCATACCAGATCCCACTGAGACGTCCAGGTGTTCCCCACATTGTCGTTTGTCTCATACTCCCATTTCTCGCATGCCACCATCTTTCTATCCCCATCAGGTGGTTTCTAAAAAGGTTGAGATTTATATAAGAATATTAAACTTAGATTTCAAAAGTTTAATGGTCTTACCGTCCAGTCTGATGGCAGCATACTTTCATTGCTCACTTGACTCCAGTCGATGCCATCCCATCGCTGGCAGTTGTCGACGGAGCCGCTTAGATTCCTCCAAGTGGCCACTGGCATTTGCTGGAATTGCGCCGGACGCTGGCACCAAAAGTCCTTATTGGCCGCCTGATAGATGGACGAGGATATGTGGAAGGTGTTTGGCACCTGGAAGAGCGACAGCAGCACTGTCATCAGTAGCTGCCACTTGCCATAGTGACCCATCAGGTCACCGATCACGTCGGTCTCATCTTCATCGTCCGCTGGATCCAGTCCGCTGACCGCCGCCGCCGCTGCCGGCGACTGGGGCGTCGTTGCCTGCTGTTTGGGCGGGATGGTGGGGCTGGTGGTGTGGGTTGCGGTGGTGGGGGACGGTTTGCCGGAGTCGTGCATGATGCACAAAGGAACTGAAAGAAATGGTAAAGTGAAAATGAAAGTCAAACCAATTCTAAAGTTGAAATGATTAGCATTAAGGAATATTTGTAATAAAATATGAAAAAGTTTTGGCATTTCTTTAATAAATATAAGAAATCAAAGCTACGTTACTACAATGTGGTGATTTTTGAGTTAGAATTCATATTATCACCTTAATAAAGTTATAAAAATTTAAAGAGTAAGTCCTTTATGTTCCCCAATCCCCTTCCAATTACAGCTTCAAATGCTTAGAACTTCATCAAACGAAGATAAATAAATGTGAAAGATGCAGATTGACCAGTTTTTGGCCAAAGGGAACATGCAAATAATTGACTTGGTAGATGCCAAAAGCAACGGATTCGGCGGGGAGGGGAATTAATTTTATTGCCCGTGTCAGGAGCACACAAAGGAGCAATTAGTTAAGTGGTCAGTGACTGGCCATAAAACAACCCGGAGTCGGAGAGGCCAAAGCCTCTCAGAAACAGTCTAACAGTTTGAATGCAGTCAAGTCAAGCGGCTCTATTTCATTTATTAGGACAAACCCCCGCAACTTCTCCCCTAAGGATACCGATGGGCAATGTCCAAGTCCGGTCATTGGTCAACCTGCGTTCGATGGAATTCAATCACGTTGGAGGCGATTAACTACAGCAGCCGGAGACCGGCAAAAGTTGCTGCTGAGCATCGAACCGAGCTGGCTCTACAAAGTAAAAGAATAATAGCCAAGATTTAATGTAATTGCGTCGGGGTGAGGCGAAGGAGGAGAAGGTTACTCCTGCCATGTTCGTGTCCTTTGCTCAGTTTGCTAGTTGAACTTTCTCCCCCATCTCTACTCCCATTCCCTATTCCTTTCGCATCCTTTCTCCGGTTTGCTCTGTTTGCGTTTTCTTTTGTGGCCACTGGCCAGCGGGGCTTTTGTAGCGCATTGGCTTTGTCTGGGATTTGGCTCGGAATGGGTCCATATACAAGATATGGCCAAGTTGAGCCCGCGGCCAAAGTGGCCGAAGGTATCAATGCCCAAAAGTAGGCAGCAGACTTGCGAACTTTTCGACTTTAGTTGGCCGACTTAAATGTTTAATTCTTTTCAGTTGATTTAGGCCAAATTAAACGATTTACCACACGCACAAAACGGATTCCATGGGATCAGTATTTAGTGCAAGCGAAGAAGATTTGGGGTGTATTTAATCAGCTCAGAGTATACGTTTTAGCCATTAAACGAGTAAGTTCTTAAACAAGCTTAGTTGGCTGATGGTAATAGCTTATTCATATACAAATATCTCTAAACTGAGAAAGCTGAGTATGAAAAACAGTACATAAACTATATAAAAATTATGTAACAAATATAAAACAAGTAGGCTTTAGCTCAAATTATACTATAATTACTATCCAAATTAAATTTATATTCACAAATGACTTTAAACTTTACACAAATGCAGCAATAAAGTTTCATACCCTGTTCATAGTTGCTATATCAAGTTTCTCTATTCAAATGACTTGTCAACAGTGGGGATATCTCTGCGTCTGTGTGTGTGTGTGTGTCCCATGAATCAAGTACTCGCACATATCAATCAACGGAGCTAACATTTATGGCACAATTCCCGGGAGCCGTTAGTTAAATTTGCATATGCCCAAGCGTCGGGTGGTGGTGTCCAAACCCCCGGAAGAGATATTCCGTTTAGGTGGGGATTTAGCATATGTGGCCAGTGGCCACCACACCGCACCACTGTGGCAGCAGCAGTGGCAGCGACAGCAGCAGCAGCAGCAGAAGCTGCGGCTGTGGCAGTGGTAGTGGCAGTAAAATTCACGCCATACGCCGCACGTGATAAGCAGTTGAGCGCACATTTTCACGCACTTGTAAACAGGAATAAGCGAAGCGTGTCCGCGAAAAGCCGCGGGCTGGAGAGACCACCAACTCCGCCCTAAACCCCTCCGCTCAGAAATCCCTTCCCTTACTATCCTATTGCCTGGCAGGATAATTAATTATCAATTTTATAGGCAACCCACCCAACCAGTCACCGTTTATATGGCAAAAATGGGGGGCCTACTGGAATTGCAGTTGGGCTTAGGTTTTGGCCAGCGGAGTTACTGGGCAACTGCTGTCGCAGATGCAACTGCCACTGCCACTGGTGTCCGCCGAAGGTCGCAACGTCGCTATGTCGTGTGTGGGCACAACGGCTCAATTTCAATGCTATAAACTACGTCGTCGCCGTTTACCTTCAACTCGCGGCGCACATGGCGTATGTGCAATATCATGGCAAGCTGAAAATAACGCTAATTGCATTCAGCAGCTGTTGTCGCCCTGGTCACACCCCAGTTGCCCATTCCTGTCCCCCAATTCCTGCCCGTGGTCTGGCTGGCATTTGCTGGTATGACAAATCGACAGGTTCCTGCTTTCGAGATTAAATTAAATTAATTTAATAAACTAATTGGAAGCTGTCGAAGATGGATTACTTGTACGTTTTTGCCTCTGCACAAGCGTTAATTGAAAATAATTAGTAAATAAATCAGATGATTTATTTAGCTTAATCAGATTAGTAGAAACGTAAGGTATATAAGCTTAGTACAGGAAAATCCTGATACTAACTTATTTTACAGCAGTTAACCATTCACTTTTAAGTAGTAATAAACTTTAAAATTGATTAACTTAATATTTTAATGTGCACATTAATATTTAATTGGTTTTGGATTTACATTCCAGCCACGGATGAATGTTCTACTCAATCAAATGGCAATCTAGCCGACAGTTATCCATAAAAAGCAGAAACTGGTCACTGACGCAATACCACAATCAATCTAGTTCGATCTAGAGTCTTGTTTTGTATGCATATGAGGAGCTTATTGTACTACCAAAGATAGTACTTTATAGACAGTTTCACACCCCCATGCAAATCAAACTGCAATGGCCCATGTCCAATTGGTAATTACGTTTACACTTTGCAGCCATAAATAACAAATTATAATGCCATGCACGTTCATAAAAATGCATGCTTATACCGCCCTCTCCCCCTTCAATATCCACATAGATATCTAATGGCTCCCTGTTTAACAGTTTCCCAGGGAGATGTAAGAGGCGGATGCGTCTGGGTGCGATCTCTTGACACGCTCTACCAGCGCCGGGGCGCCTCAATTGAACACGATCCACACAAGCTCCTCTAATAATGATTTGTTTCAATTGAAAAGTCAATGCCGCAGCTCCTCTCTCCCTCTCTCTCTCTCTCGCTATCTATCCCACTGGCCATTAATAATTTGCTTAGCTTCCATTCGTGGTTTGGTTAATTAAAAATAGCAAACGAAAAAAAATGTAACCCGGCGCTAAAGACAATTGACAAAGGGTAAAAAACGGAGAGTGCGAGGCTTTCTTGTTACTGTTGTATTTGCATAAATATGCGAGAAATTGCTCCCGCTGGTCATAAAATATTAATGAATAACTAATTTAATTAACAAAGAGTGTGGGTGAACGGAGTTTCCCTCACATTTATGGCATTTTGTTTTTTCACAACCCTATTTCAAATTTACGATCTGTAGAGGAATTTCTATAGATAGATCTTAAAAGCTGTCGGAGTCATACAAAACAATATTTAAATGATAGAAAATCTCATTAAATGCAGACTAAATTAGGGTATAGCTTTTTAATAAACTTATGTTAGCAAAAAATGTAGTTTATAACTTTTATTATAATGCTCTGAAATCCAGCTATTTAAAAAACAATTATTTCTTTATTTAAGCCTATATTTCTCTCTTATCTAACAACTCTTTTTTCCTTAATGATTTAGCTGAATTATTCAGCGAGACAATGACAAATTCTAGCGGGGTTTCCCCCAGGCAATTACTAAATAATCAGAAATGGGAAAGAATCTCATAAGCGTCATAATCACAAAAGCCGAAATGTGCTAAATATTTTTAATACAAAGGCAAGCGTTTAGCTCTGGGGAGCCAAGAGATGGTCTGCCTTTGGATGGGGGACAGGACAGGACAGGAGAGGCAGACAAATTGCCGCTGTAATTAGCCGTCATGCATATAAAAGTGCATTCACTTTCATGCCATGATAGCAAAAAAATAGAGAGAACTAAGGTGGGTGGTGGGGCGTTGGCAATGGATGATGATGATGATGATAATGATGACGCCTGCATCTGCATTTGTGCAAGTATGGCTCGGTGACGTTGCCAGCTAATTTGCACATTTATAGGATTTGATTTGTTTATTATGCATTCGCATAAGTGGAATGGGAGAGGGGGGAGATTGAGGAGGGTGATGAAGTATATGGGCGTTCGGCTTGGTACACAGAGTGCTGCCAAGTGGGTAATAGTAATCTTCAGACACTTGCACGCAGCAACGAGCTGCGCTTCCGTTCCGCCGACAAGTGCCCTCAGTGCGGATGAGCGATGACGATGTCGGCTGGCTGATGGCAGTTGGAACGGGTGAACGGGTATCGGGATTAGAGACGACATCCCACCGGATGACAGCCCGTCATCGTATATGTAGCATTGGCCAGCCTCACTTCATCACTTGTCAGACTAATTGCAGCTGTGTGACAGCCGCTTTTCGGATAAGTAACAGTAGTACGCCACGAGGCGTATGCGCAATGTCTAGCGAAATGCATTTAATTTTGCTACTGAATGCCCGCAGCTATTGTAAATAATGGCAATTCGAATTTGATTTTCACCAACGCAACGCACTATTCTCATTGTAAACAATACGAATATAACTTTCCATATCAGCGATTTGCGCACGAACGTGCTTGAATCGAGCGATAATTGTTCGATCTTTCGTTGAGGGAAATTTACGAGTTCACGCCTTGCCATTAACCGAATTGATTTTGGCACTGGATAAACAAAATGCGAAAAACGAATCCATAAACAGCACGGATCCGATCCAGCCAGAAAACTAATGCGACTAATTGCGAGCTAAATCAGCCAGTAAACGACCTGAATTTGTTCTCAATTCTACTCCCTCAAACCTTGTGTTTTACGACTATTTCCCGGAGAAAAACAAATGCAAAGAAAATATACGAATCGTACGGTCGATAGGCTTGTGTTCTCAGTCCAAAGAAAACTTTGACCGTCATTAAAAGCCAAATTTCAGGCATCATAAATTTCGGGAAAAACATGCCGGGAAAACTATTCATACAGTTTAAATATTTTGAAACATCTAAGAAATCAATATTTGTATACAATATACAAATATTAAAAATTGCATCATATCAGGAGTTAGCCACCAAATAAAGTTCAAAATACTAAAAGAAATGAAAAAGCTATATAAATTCTATACCTAACATATTTTCGATGAAGTGACTCTCAAACTAATGAGCAATAAAAATAACATGAAAAATTCGTAACAAATGAAGACAAGGCAACAAAAAAAGAAAAAGAGCAATTGTCAGCGATTTTCATATCAATACGAGAACACATTTGCAAGTTTATAAGCCCGGCCAAAGCCACAAAAACCCCTCCGAACACATTTGATTGCCACAAATTGGCGGCAGCTTGACAATTTTGTATGATCCGATACCCTAAAATGGCAAATTTTCACAAATTTTCAAATGCCAAAATCATTACAATGAAGTGGGTTTTTCTCCCCCTCCACACACACGCACAAGGATCAAATCAATTCGATTCAATTTAAAAGGTATTTTAAAGTTTTTATGAGGTGGGCGTGGGCCCCGCCTCTCGTTCAGCACATGTGTGCCTGTGTTTGTTGATATATTATGCAAATTTTAGCTACCTTCGGTTGAATGCCACCTCCTCACTCATCCCTTCTTACACTTTTCATCTCAAAACCGTTCATCTGCGGATATCTTTTATTTAGCAAGAATTACGAAATCCAGGATAAAAAGGAAGGGCATTTCGAAGGGAAGGAGGGAGGCAGGGTAAGGTAGAAACATTGCAATATGGCAATTCCGTTTCGTCCTCGTTCACATTTGAAGGGTCTTTACTGGCATCCTTCCGCTTGCCGCCTATCGTGCAACTGCTGCTAGGATGACGTCCTGCCTCTGTCCGGTTCAGTTCAGTTTTGGTTCGGTTCAGTTGAGTCTGGCAGTGGCTGCATTTTGCTGTAAACAAAGTCAGAGAGATGCACAGGATACAGCCGGACGACTCACAGCCGGAATCGGGTCCAGTGTTGTAGTGCAATACAAAAGAATATAGGTCATCAGCCATGGGCGAAATTGCGCTAACAAAAGGTATATGGGTACTCCATTTTAATTTAAGATACCATCTATCAAATATGTTAAATTCGGATGAAACTAGTTTGGTTATAAGTAAATATGTAGGAAGACAAAATGGGGTTATAAATAAATTGGATAAACAGAAATCTTATACGAGTATTTCTGAGAAATATCTCAAGTACTATAATATTTAAGCACTGTCAATCAAAAAGAATTTGTACCCAAAGGGTATTTTCAATTTTGTTAGCCAGTCCCTCTCTTTTTTATGGAATCATATTTGGTTTCTGTTTAGCTACACTCTTAATGTAAATCTGTATGGATGTCTAAGTGAGTGCCTGGCGCTGATCCATTGTTGTCAACATGAATTCGCAAATCTATTTCCATTTCGACTTGTCGGTTGTTGATGATGGGTGATGGGCTATGGTTGCTCCCTTCAACATGCCCCTCGGCTCGTGTCCTGTTAATCGAATAGCAAATCGTTTGGCAATTTCAAATTTTGCCAGCTAAGCAGGAGGAAAAACCTTCGCTTGTACCCCGCCCAATTCTATTCTATTGTGGGGAGTAGCGCGCCTTTTTGATTAGAATTTCCATTTCAAAGTGCGCACTGATTTGCTACTTTTATGCGCTTCCAATCAGTGGCAAGTCGAGAGTCAAAGCATCCGCCATTAGCATAACCTTACGGCAAAAAGTGGGTGGGGCAGGCGCCAGGTGATTGCCAGCTATGTTTGTTTGAACCCCCCAAACCCCCTTTTGACCTCCGGCCCTGGAAATCATTTGCCTGCATTGTCAGGATTCCCATGCCCATTCGAATATGCTTATGAGCTACTCAATATGTTCAATATGCTGGGTTATGACGAGTCTTGGGGTTCAGCCATGTGGAGTTTTCAATTTCATTTCCATGAGCTCTTCTGGCTGCTTAGACTTTTCGCCTTGAGTTAATCTTAATTCCTCAGTGGAATATGAATGTACTTTGAGTTGGAATTTAATCTGTATTTGTTTGCTTATCCAAGACGTTTCTTATGTACCTTCAGCTTACTTTATTAATAGACATTTTTAGTAAATTTAAGATCAAATTTAATTCTGAATAAAACTTAAAGCTTATTTGACATTAAGGTATATGTGAATTGGAATTTTTCTTATAAGATTTAATTTATCTGAATTTATCTGTAAATTAAAACCATTTCTTCGATATCAATATATGGAAAATAAAGCAGAAAACTTATTACAGACATAAATCATAATCATAAATAACAAAGCACTTTAAAGATGATAAAAATCGATTTTGTATATTGCAAAAGGATTTTAATAAAATATAAATGATAATATAACTCCGAGTTTATGGATAGTTTCCCTGAGTGCAAAATTGCACTCTTAACCAATTTAAGCATTCCACTTTATTAAAACATAAAAAATATAGACCATTCTTTGATATTGGTGGAAGGAAGGCTATAGGAAGGCGACTTTTAAAGACCATTTACGTTTATGTCATTTATGGTTACAATTTACAGGAAAATCCTCGAAGCAAATTTGGATGCTTGGAGTGGGACTAGCGGAGGGCCTAAAGCTGGCTTCAACAATCTGTCAGGATAAAGTCATTGTCGTTGTCATTGTTGTTATCCTCATTGTTGTTATCCTGCTGCTACTGCTGCTGCTTGTTGTAGCTGTTGTTGTTGCAAGAGCCAAACAAATAGACTCGGGCAGCGAAAAAAAAAAACCAACACACATACAGAGAGAGAAAAAGGCGCACAAATAAACAAACAAAGGAGAGCAAAGCAAACGTCGCTGGCGGCACGTCCGCGAGCAAGGATGCCAGGACTCTTGCCGCACACAGTGGCACATATACATATATATATATTCACACATTCCTTCCCCCCCATCGAGTTCATTTGTGTCCTGCCGCGTTGTCATCGTCGCCAGGCAGCCTGTGTGCGTAATGAGCTTACCTTATGGATAGACAAAACAAGTTGTTTCTGCTGCTGCTGCTGCTGGTGTTGCCGCTGGTGTTACTGCTACTGCTGTGGCAGACTCAGGCGCAGCCAATCCTGCAGCACGCGTCCTGCTGCACAATTGGCAGGGCTGATGGCGACTTCCTAGCCCGTTTCCTGTTGCTGGAGCTTTTTGTTGTTTTGCTGGTGTGTCTGTCTTGGCGCGGAAATCCGTCGCACGTTTCTCGTTTGTTTTTCCTCGGTTTTCTTTTCTTTTCTGTTTTTTATTTTATTTTATTTTTTATTTAAATTTTTTTTACGTTTGGAACAAAATTTACAGCTAGAAGCGCACTAAACGGAAACTGACACATAAAATGCTGTCTGATTTTACGAGCGTCTCTACGGCTGTCTCTACGGAATATATACGATACGCTTTCCCTTAACGGCATTCGACACGTGGTCAGGTGAGGGTGCACATAATTTACTTATTTTCGTTGCATTTCCCGGATTGCTCATACGCAGAGTAGTACGTAGCAGGGAAATGGAATCGCGCGCGCGAATCAACAGCAATTTTGCAATTTGGACAACGGTAAATAAGAGCCAGAGCAGCAGCGGCAGCCCTCTAGTAAATAATAACGTCAAATAAAAATAATAATAATAATAATAATACGCTGATATTATGAAATATCAAGCGGTTCTGTGTGGGCCGCTGCCCGCTCGCATTATTTATGGGTTGTCCAAACATTGTCTGGCGGAACATTGTCTTCGGGCGGACTGAAGAGTCCCAGCGTCTATATATTAGCACACATCTCATCGGAACTCGGAATATCTATATATGTATATTCATATATAACATCTTTGTTGCCACTCGCATTTGTTGCTGTTGTTTTAGTTATTTAATTTTATACTATGCACACTCACGCACCCACACCTCGGATCGCGGGATCTACGAATCTACGAAACTTAAAATCTTGGACCTCGTACCGCACTCGTACCGCTTGTCTTTGGCTGCTACAACAACAAGAACGCTTCCTGCTCTTGATTCGCACTATTTCCTAGGCGCTGATGCTGAAAATGCGATTGCCACTGGCGACGTTCAATTGGCGGCTGTTGCGGCGTTCAAGTTCATCACACAACGACTGACCAAGAGCAACTGAGCGCTCGTCTCCAAAGCGAAGAACTTTTATAACCTTCTCCCTATTAGCCGCCTGCCCTGCTCCTCTCCTTTCTCTACCGCCCCCTAAGCTTGTGACTGCGACGCCAGCAGAACCGATGCTCGGATGCTGCCAGCTTTGGACCATTCTTTGCCAGCCGACGTCGTCGTCGTCTTTACCGTCGTGTATGTTGTTGCTTCTGCCGCTGCACCTGATGCGCGTTCTCTTTCGCCCGCTCTTGGTGCTCTCTTAAGTTGATGGAGCACTCTCTTTAGCTTTCGATTCGCGTGGCGCGCAAAACTGTTGCTGTTGTTATTTAATCGCCGGCATCGCTTCACTCGGCATTAACTGGGATACACTGTCCACCGAAGGGGAGTCCCCGGAATATCAATGCTCTTAAGCTTAGTATTAAATATTTTATTCGATTCTCTTTTTAAAAAGTCGTTATAATAAAGTTAAATCAGACAACTTAAATCTATCTTGAGGTGCTAAACTTACAAATCACTTTGTCTCTATACACGCGTAATTGTCTATATTAAACCATATCTTTTAGTAGTATATAGTTTTTTTAATGTTATGAAAAAATGTAATAGTAAGGTGTTTCTAGGCTCTGATATTGTTAACACCGATTTATAAACCTTACAGGATACACAGCCCCAAAAACTTAAGTAAGTGTATTCAAAGTTCGATCAAAACAAAAGCCTTCAATGCCTCCTCCTCTTGCATTGCCGTCTGAGGTGTAATGATATAAATCAATTGATCAAATGGGTATGACTATAGCTACATATCTCGGCTGTGTCAACTGCAGTTGCAGCTACATCCGAGCAGCGACAAGTGGAGATCGGTGGGAAATCGACGGAGCGTGCCGAAAGATCGCTCGACACTCGGCGATCAGCGGGTGTTTGGGCCTAATGTATCTATCTGTCGGCGGTCGAGAACAATTTGCCTGATAGATCACATCAAATATAATTCTGACAATTTGTTGACACTTTTGTGCTGTCTCTCTCTCTGCTGTGTGAGCCTTTTGTTTTGTTTTTCATATTTATTTTGGGGTGGTTAGTTGACGATGATTATTTAATGGCAATTTAGTGTGGCTCGTTGTCCATGGCGTTATGATTATATTATTGACAGAGAGATCTCCCAATCTCTCCCTCATCATCATCGTTTTTTTTTTTTCTCTCGGAAAGGCCCGAATAATTGCGGACGGAATTCGGCAACTGAGTGTGCCGGTTTATGATTGATTTATGACTGCGGGGTTCGTGGGGTCTGGGCTTGTTTATTGTTATTTTGTCTCATTACGCGAAAATTTGTTATTTATTTGCTTAGAACAAAAACGAATGAAGACAAAGTTGCGGAGGCAGCTCTTCTCTCTCTCTCTCTCATCGAAGATAACAAACAAGATTCTTTGTTCGGTAGCTAAATTGTTCCTAATTAATTGCCATACATAAATGGTGTTAATTGTGAAATCAAGCCTGAAGTCTAAATTAGTATTAGCCAAAGAGATTAGAATATCTTAGGGCCTTAAATCTTCATTAAACATTACAAGTTGCTATCAGTGGTGAGTCTTTGTTTTAAGTCAATAGCTTGATTAGGTATATGAATCATTTTAGACCAACCCAATTGACTTGCTCGTAAATCTAATCGTGATTCATTCATCCTGTTGATTTCGGAAACGCCCTCTTCGTGAAGGTAAATATTTTCAAAAAATGCGGAAATGTTCTTTAAAACAAATATAATAAATTTCTCATTGCCTCGTACAGATTGTCAATTGGGAATTTTGAGTGATTAGACTTGTTAAATTTAGAAATTTAGAAAGAATTTAGATCATTTGAAAAATGCTAACAGAGAAAACTATCTTGAATGATGATCGATTGGTTATTAATTCAGTAAAAATAAACATTTTTAGAGCTATTTCAATTAATAGTTTTTAGTTCCACATTTTTAAGGGTTCTTTTCTGAATGTAAATAACCTTGCTATAAGTAGAGCAGCTTTATAAAAGAAATTTTATTAAAAACTTTCTATTTAAAAATATCACTTATTTCGTTTTCTGCTGAAATTTTTATTCAATACATTCCCTTCCACTTATTTCCCTCTTTAACTTCCCACCCTTTTAAAAATTTTCATTCACAAAAAGCAGCAAAATTTATCGCATGCAATATTTGGCCTTGCCTGCAATAAAAAGTGCTCCCTTATCTTTTCGAATTGCTCATACAATAAACATTATTATGCCTTTTGCAGTTGTTTTTGTTTGATTCGATTGTTTTTGTAGCTGAGCAAATAAAATGCAAATTTTGCTGGGTTTATTTATAATTCAGCAACGACAGAAATAATTAGCTATTGAGTGGGAAAGCAAATGACACCGAGCTTTTATCAATGAACCAAACGAAAGGGCTTGGGTTATGGTCTATCGCTATAAGAAAAGCATTCAGGGAGGGGCTCGACTTCGTTTTAGCTGTCAATCGTATCAGTTTCAATTTCAATCTAGGGATTCGTTTTGCTTTGATTTATACTAATATTCTAATTGAATTGGCGCTACACGATTTCCATAAATTAAATGGCATAAAAATAATTCGCATTCAGGTTCGAACGCGAGGGGGAATTCGAAGCAAAGTCCGCAGTATATAGTCAGCATTAGAAACCCCTGGCCTCCCCAAAAATAAAAAATAAAAAAAAGCTCCGGCTATATTGCAACGTGCAAGTGTCACTGATTTATGGCCAAATGAGAGTGTGTTTGTGTTGTGCCAGTTAGCTTGTTTTTGACCAAGTTAACTGGTTTAATGGCCCAATGGGGAGTAGTGTTGGCAAACGGCATACTCACTTGTCCCGCTCCTGCTCCTCTGACTCCGCTCCTGTGGCGCCAGCAAAGGCAGCTCCAGTTCCATCGACGGGCTGTCATGGGTTAAGCTCGTACGTTTGGCCATCGTGTGTATCGTATTTCTTGTTTATACTTTTAATACAGCCTTTTGATTAATGATCATATACTAATTATTGAGATACGCGAAATGGCAATGCCAGTGCCGTTTTGATTTCAATTTTTATTTCTATTTATATTTCTATTTCTGTTTTTACGACTTGGCGCCGTTTTTGCCGCTCTTATCACGCTCGCTTGTTTGGCGCTTATCAACCCGGCATTGGCTGGGTTCCGCTGGAAACTGACCAGCTATGGGCACTCGGACTAGGAACTATTCACTCCGTTTGCCCCACATAAATCACGTTCCAATTAACCGAAATTGGCCAGACGTGTTGGCATTCGCTGGACATTATCCAGTATCCACTATACAGTAGTAGTTCCAAAAGCAATGGGTCAACAATGGGATCCCGATAAAAGTCGGGATGAGTGAACAGTTAGTGGCACTTTAGAGCGGGTTTATTTCTTGGCGCGACGTGTGAACTGAACGACGAACGGTGGCTAACTGAATGACTGGCTGGCTGGCCAGGCAAAAGCCCCATCGAATGAAGCGATTGGCGTCGCCTTCGGCTGCGGCAACCGAAATTTACGATTCAACGGCAACATGCCGCCACTGCAAAAGGGTATTATAGGATTTTTCATATGCTTGCATCGAAACGAAACAAAATCTGGCCAACAAGTTGGCTTTATTACCAACTGATCAGAAATTCTTTAACTAAATGTTTTCAAATTGTTTAGGGTATTGGATGAATGTCTATAGCCTAATGGAATTCACATATAGGTGTTATACGCCTATGACAAATACTGTTAGCTTAGGCGGTGTTCTCTTTGACCAATGAAGAGTATCAAACAACCTTCTTAGCTTTATGACTCCTTTAAAAGTACTTTAATTTAACATTTTTGAGGTAGAATAATAAGTGTTATTTTTATAGTTATTAAAATCAATTTCTTAATTTCCATATTAATAGAAGAGGTAAATAAAAAGTACATTATTCTAGCAACTAAAATCACTTTTTTTTACATCTATAATCAGTAAGAGTATTTATTTATCGACTGACAGGCAACATGCATTTTATTTTTTTTGCACAGCTTGTTTGTTTTGGTTTTGTTTTATAATTCACAGCAGAAAGAATACCAAGCAAGTTCGTTTATTTGGGGGTTCATTAAAATGTATTTACACGTTCATTGATTACTAGTTTTGAGCCGAAAGCTCGCATGTTTGCCCATTGAGAAGTGATGTGAAGTGCGCGGGCGACAGCTGAATGTCATCCCCGACTGAATCTGTAAACCACCTTGAACCCGGGCATTAATATTTCCCCGTCCTTTTTTTAGCCGTTTCAGTTGGTCTTAAAGATAGCAACTTGAGATGAGTTCACCGAAAGATATGCAAATTTTATAAGTTTGCCGAATTCGAGTACAGGTTGATCCACCTGAAGCCTCGTTATTTCCAAAATATTTTTCTTCAATTTTTGTATTTTGAGCGTGCATTCAATTTGTAATTTCACAGTTTATTCTCCATTACTAATGGTGTCAATATGAAATGCTTTGTTTGCTTGGTATGTTTTCTAATTCCTATTAAATCTGTATTCACAAGTGAAAAAAAAATTTTTTTATGATTATTGAAATAAAAACACTCCAATATGCGAAAATTGGTTTTCTCAGATTTTCTCCTCAAAGTCTCAGTATTATGCCTGTAACTAAGCCAATAGTGGTCCGAATATGGAGTACAATACCTCGTTGAGTTTGTTTTCTAATTCCTAGTCGAACTGCATTCACAGTTTGAAATGTAAAATTTTGCCCATTTTTTGCAAAAAATATGATGTTACCCCTTATCTAAAATGCGAAAATTGGATTTCTCAGATTTTCTCCTCGAAGTTTCACTATTTACCCATAACTAAGCCAATAATAATCCGAATATGAAATACAATACCTCGTTAAGATTGTTTTCCTATTTCTAGTCGAACTGCATTCACAGTTTGAAATGTAAAATTTTGCCCATTTTTTGCAAAAAATATGATGTTACCCCTTATCTATAATGCGAAAATTGGTTATCGTAGATTTTCTTCCAAAGTCTAAGTATTATGCCTATAACTAAGTCAATAATAGTCCGAATATGGAATGCCATACTTTGTTTAGTTTGTTTCCTAATTCCTAGTCGATCTGCATTCTCAGTTTAAAATGTCAAATTTGGACCATTTTTTGCGAAAAAAGGTGATGTTACCCCTTATCTAAAATGCGAAAATGGGATTTCTCAGATTTTCTCCTCGAAATCTCAGTATTATGCCCATAACTAAGCCAATAATAGTCCGATTATGAATTGCCATACCTCGTTGAGTTTGTTTTCTAATTCCTAGTGGAACTGCATTCACTGTTTGAAATGTAAAATTTTTACCTTTTTTTTGCAAAAATAGGTGATGTTACCCCTTATCTAAAATGCAAAAATTGGCAATCTTAGATTTTCTTTCAAATTCTCAGTATTGTGCCTATAACTAATGGTCCGAATACGGAATGCCATGCCTCGATAAACTCGAAATTAAATTCCTATTCAAACTGCATTCACAGTTTAAAACTTTTGGCCATTTTTTTACAAAAAAAGATGATGTTACCCTCATCAAAAATGAGATACTTGGTTAGACCCGAAAAATGGTCCTAATCTGAAATGTTTTTGGACCCTAAAAGCACAGGAAATCTTCCGTAGCGAAAGCTCACTCAAAAAGCAAACAAAGACAATTTTCCAACCAATTTTCCCTTTCAAGCTCTTATGAGAAGCTTTCAGTTTTCCAGCTGAAACTCACCTCAGCCGCTGGCGCTAAGGATGTTTGCTTTTCCCAGGATATTCTAGCACGGCGAATCGGAGCGCATGAAATGGCAGGGACTTAGCACGCATTAAACAACATCAAAATAAACAAACAATTTCGCAGACAATTGCTTCGAGGCAGTTTGAATCAGCCGCAGCGAATTGCGGTCGAAGGACTATGGATAAGGGGAATGAGTACCACAAGAGCATGGGGTGGGATTATCCTTGTGGAAAAGTGCTTGGTCCTTCGGTCGTGTGCCGCCACAGAGATTCACAGAATGGATTTGCTCTGGTTTGGATGCAAAGCGCTAATCGATATGTACCAGACAAGGGTACACATCCTGCGTCCTGTCAGCAACTCCAACAGGGATGGCCTGCGGTTGATGGCTGCGCTTCCAACTCCTTGACACTATCAATCTGTTTTCCTTGGTTTTTTTTTTTTTTGATTTAATTGTGAGAACCATTTGATTCAATTATGCCAACTGAATGATCTCAGATAATATTTGATTTTTGGTATAGAACAACTTATAGTATAGATTGAGATATTTTAGTTCAAAGAATAGAAAACTAGATTAGAAAAGAGCTTTGATTTAAGCGAAATCAAAGCACATATTCGCCTAATTTATTTTTAATCAACATGATTAACAAATTAAAAAAAGGTAATCTGATTTCAAAGTTCAAAGTTGGTTAGATTATTATAAGTGGAATGGTTTAATTATAATTCTATTTTTAAAATGTATATTTTCGGAAACTTTTTCAACAGATAATGAAGGTTCTTAATTAGTTTTAGAAGATAAGCAACTTTTATTAACTGATTCCCACAAAGCCTGCAACTCAAATAGCTCTACAACTGTAACCCTAACTTAAATTAGCTTGTTCCATGCAGCTTAGACCCAAAGGACCTCTCAAGTAATGCTCTTATATGCAAATCAAATGGGTTTACGATATTCATTCTATTTACTTTTTGGTTTTCCCACAGTCCGTGATTTTCACTTCCTTCGGTGCACTCGTTTGAAATGCGATAATTTAATTGTGGTGCCATGACAAGTCCAACTCACTGAGTTTAGGGTTAGGATTAGAGGGGTACGTCGAATCGGAAGGGCGGTTTTCCTGCGGCAATTGCAAAAGTTAAATTAACAATCGTGTTTACATTGGTTGGTAACAAGATTTCACTTAAGGATGTCAGCTTTGTTCGCGGCACCACATACCTATCTCCCGCTCAATCGGTTTCGACTTGAATTTTGCACAGGATTCGGGCACTAACCCTCCATCAAAACTGATTACTGTCATCAGACTCATGGTAGTTCTGGATGCGAGGGGTGTGCGAAGTGTGCGCCGACGCGTGCGACAAGCAAATTTGTCTGGTAATGAAAAGGTTTGCGCATCCGCCCTGACATATTGCCGGGGTCCTTTTGTTCTGCGGATCGGACTGCTCGGGATTTTCGCGCCTCGGGTTAGGGCACGTGACCGAGCCGCCTGGCTGGGCGGGGCATTCTCCACTTTGACGCGAGTGACGTAGCTAATTTGCGAGGAAACCAAAACATCAAATAAACATAATTCAATTTTAACAATTACCCTGTGACGGCTGGTTGACAAAGACTGTGGTTTCGAGTGGTTCCTGATCCCGTTTCTCGGTTCTGGTTAGGTTAAATGATCCGTAAAATGTAGCGACCAGCTCTATCTGCCTTGGATCTAATTGCTCTGGTTCTGATTTGTCCTCATCCCGTGGGAATCAAAGTTCAGTTGACTCAGATCAACAGGTCCTTGGACCCCTATATCGTACTCCGATTACTGGCAGACTTTGTGACCCGATGTCATTGGGATCACGTTCCTACGTACGTCTGTAAAAATTGACTTTGGAAGGGGATATGGTAGGGTTATCTGGGGTAGGGTTAGACAGGTCCCCCATCTCTGGAATATTGCTTCTTGTCCCCCCCAATCATCCAAGTGGTAGACACAAACATGGCGGCTTCCTGCTGTGCGAAATATAATGGCAGAATGTCAAAAACAGGTGAAGGAAGCACAAAGTACGTGGAGCTGTAGGTAAGTCTGAGGGGGGTAGTTGGAATGGTGGGCTGTGGTTATAGTAGACTTAAATATGTCCTACAATCATAAAGAATATTTTGTATTTTAGATTAAAGGTGATAATACATTTAAATCATTTTTAAAAATTTAATTTTTCTTGTTTTAAGAATAAAAGTATGATCATAATTTGATATAAACTTTTCAGATTCAATAATACATGGAAAGCTTTATCAAAATGGATATAACATTATATCCCTAAGCCCAAGATCAGACTTCCTAAGTACCACTAAGAAATTTTTCAAAGAAAACTCGACAAATCAATTATCATAATTAACTCCAGATCAAGATCTACGCCCAGCAATCGAAGGGCAGCCAGAGGCGAATATAACCAACGGATTTCCCACAGCATCCGTTCCATTTGCAGGGGGAAAACACCCTGTACTTGGCAAGCTCCGCCCATTGAGTAGAGGACGCACGGCTACTGGCTGCAAGGACATTTAGGGGTGGAAAAGTCCTGGCCAGAGTTGTGGCATTTCCAATTGGATCTGCGGCACTATAAAAGGCTCTCAATTCCCAGGAGATGGACTCATTAAAGTTTTTAACTTATTGGATAGCGGAAGTGCATTCGAGTGTTAGGAAAATTTTAAATCGTATATAATAAGTTCGAATTAGAAAAATAAAACTTAGTGAAGAAAATTAATTAAAAATGTCGCGAAATCAACTACCAGACTCGTCCTCTTCGCCGCCCATAAGGTACGGGAATTCAACATAAATATAAAAAAAATATTTTTTAAGAAAGATATTTAATAACTTAGATTTCATATTCAGTGCTTTTATATTCCCGTTTTTTACTTTTTTAAACAATAAAAACATTTACTTAATAAAACTTGATAATATAGTACGACGCGTAAAAACTAAAATTAATATTATATAAATATTTAATACAAGAGTGGGGCAACGCCCAAAACATGTACTGACATTGGTCTGTTCCGTCGGCAACTTAACACGAAGGATGCTAATTATCAAAAATGTTCAGAAAGTTATTTATTTAGTAAACAAAATTAAATCTAGTATACAATACTACAGTACTGTATACTATACAGTATAGCTGCCAGGGCCTACGACTCAAGATTTCAGTGAATTAAATTATTTAAATAAATGTACAAAATTGTTTTTCAATTTTTCGCCTTTATAGCATGAACATTTATCCTGTAGATCTTAAAATATTTTATAAATTTTTTAATTATCATTCAAGATATACGAGGTGTGTTCAAAAAGTAAGGTGACTCTTCAAATTTCGCGAATTTCAAATTTTTCGATTATCGATTTTTTTGTTTTGTTATATTGGTACACTCTTCCCTAACATCTGTACCAAGTTTCAATGGAACATCCTCTTTTGTTTGGTTGTGAGAGGCGTAAAGTTACAAGTTATTTTGCGAGCTCGGCGATTTTTTGCTATCGAAAAATATGGATCAAAGGATTTGGATTTTTTGGCCAAAAACAACACCACAATAATGCCTCAGCCACCATATTCACCGGATTTGGCCCCATGTGACTTTTTCTTGTTCCCAAAACTGAAGATAATCGAAAAATTTGAAAAATTTGAAATTTGAAAAGTCACCTTACTTTTTGAACACACCTCGTATAACTTCTAAAAGGTTTCGATAATCGAAAAATTTGAAATTCGCGAAATTTGAAGAGTCACCTTACTTTTTGAACACACCTCGTATTTGCCTTTACAATTCAAATAAAATTTACCTCCATTTTCCCAACAGTCATTTACCCTTTCACAACTTTGATGATGATTTGATCAACGATCTGCCCTCCTGCATTTATGCGGGTCAACATCAAGGTGGTGGCGCCACCGGTGGAGGCGGTGGTGGGTCAGGAGGAAGCGGTGGAAACTCTGGGCTGCGTCTCAGCTCGAATAACCTGCGTCATATTCAGCAGCATTATATGCAGCATAGTGGAGGTAAAAAGCAATAAATATATTTCAGAATATTCGGAAATACATTTTATAAATCCAATAGAGAATCTGCTAGACTCATCAACCAATCCGATGGGGGTGCACAATTCCGGCGGTGGAGCGCCTTTGATGTGCAATAGTCCCAGTGCCAGCAGCAGCGGAGGAGGTGGCGGCAACGCAGGCTCAGCAACTCCTGGCGGAGGAGGGGGCCCAAATCCTGGCTATGGTTCAGTGGGAGCACCAACTGCGTCCAGCTACAAAATGCAGCGACAGGCGGCCAATGTGCGGGAAAGGAAACGCATCCAGAGGTCCGCCCCAACTGGGTACACCAAATGGTCTTTTCCATTTTTCAAATTCCTAAAACACCAAATTGCAAATCAGAAGTTGTAACTAACGAGCTTTCCTTATCGTTTCCTTGCGCTTTGCAGTAGCATCAATTCAGCTTTCGATGAACTCAGGGTCCATGTGCCCACTTTTCCCTACGAGAAACGTCTCAGTAAGATCGACACTCTGCGCTTAGCTATCGCCTATATATCCCTGCTTCGTGAGGTTCTCCAAACCGACTACGATCCTTTGACCTACGTGGAAAAGTGCCTGCGGGGAGAAATCAAAGCGGATCGGGCTAATTGGAATACGAGTGGTGAGTAGAGAAGTTAGCCGGAATACCAATGGTCAATAAAATGTTCGCTTTGCAGATCTCACAGCTCGTCTTTCCTGGATAAACTGGGAAAATCTCGGTGTCCATCCTGGTAGGCGAACTCTACTAACTTCATTGGCTCTATCCTCAGAGCCTTTGTGTGGTGCTCATTGCGGAATGCCATAAGCATAGATCTAGTTACGGGCTAAGCCTGTGTAAACTGCTGAAAGCACATACTTACTGACTCATCTTCCCTTAGGGTACCAAAGTCTTCTCTTTATTTTTTGATCCCCCTTTAAGTTTAAGGCTGTACATATTTTCTACAGTTACTAACAGTTAGCAATAGTATTTTATTTGAAAAGCGTCTCGGCTGCATAAAATACAAAACCCATCAGCCATTGTAAACCACTTCCACCTAAGGGAATAGTAATTGGTTGGAATGGCTTGCGGGATAATGCATTTACAAATCAATTCCTCAAATTATATTTCAGGATAAATCTTTTGTAAATAGTATTGAGTATTGGGCAACCGATTCGAGACAAACCGGTTGCGGCTAACAGACGTTTTACAGTTAAGTCAACTATTTAACAACTTTAAAAGCATTTATATATATAAAAGTAAATACACGTTTCATCTAGACGTAGACATTTACATAGCTTCCTATCAAAGTACATATACTCAAAAATAAATACTTCTTTGATCAACAAGATAACTAAGAACACAAACTGTTTGGTTGTTGGGTGAAAAGTGGGCTAAATGCTCTGCCGATGGTTAGGCATGTATATATATATATATATGTATATAAGGTCTACATGTGGAAGATATCAACTATAAACTTTTGGCTACTACTCCTAATGCATGGATATTTCTAATTTAACTAATCTGATCATTTATGTTCCATTTGAAATTTTGGTTTGGTAACTCGACTTGACTTCGTTGGCTAATACTCGAATTGTTTTGGCCTTGGCTACAATTGGGCTACAATTTGGTAATACAAATGCGCACATATATAGGTACGTACTATTTAGAAACAATTACATAATGCACACTCACAATCATGAACATAAACACAATGATACGGTTGAACTACTTTCCTAATAATTGAATTTTTCGATTGCTTCTCCAATTTGTTTTTGGTTTTGTTGCTGTTGTTTGATCTATTGGTCATTAAGCCCCTTCAACTTGGACTTTTTATGCTGGATTTAGCACAGCCACCTTACGCAGACTCTCTAGCTCACTTCGCTTCAGGCGCAGTTTGAACATGGACTCAACAAAGCCATGACAATCTGTCACAATGCTGTCCTGGATCATGGTATCCCGGAATAGGTTGGCCAGGGCGGCAATGTCATCACAAGCCAAAATGGCATTCTTATGTGTCACAAACATGGCCAGGGCAGCACGAAAAACGATCTTGTAGCCTTCAGCGAAGACGCAATCCCAGATACGTAGAACCGTCTCCACGGGCAGCACCTCAGCAAAGATGCAGATGAACCATTTACTTGCGATTACCGGATAGGGTAAACCTACAATGAAGCAGAGTTTAGGCAAGATAGTCAAGGATCATTGCAGAAATTATTTAAGGTAAACCTTACCCAAGTTATCGACCTGCCGATTGACAGCGGGAATCCGCCGAATGACCAACTCCCGAAACACGGCCAGATCCCTTAACAAGGGACAATATTTTCCACGATGTGCTTGAGCAGCCAAAAGGACTTTTCTTCGTCATCGGTAACGATCAGTAGCAAGCCTGCTATGTAGTTGAGTCCCTGGCAGTAACCCACGTCCCGGTTGTGGTGGGCATAGGCGATGAGGATGTTATATAGGCGCTGTTTCTTCGTATCGAAGTGAATATTGTCGGGAAAGGTACGAGGTAGATCGATTGATATGGAATCGCTGATTTCTTTGTCAAAGGTCTCGGTGCGCAGAAGGTTGCGAAATAGATCTGGGGAGCGGCGCTGGGCGGCGGCAGCGCCAGATATCTTCATCCAGACGTCGGGACGGTATGGACCGGGTATGCCCTTCCGAATGTACCGCTTCAATTTGGCATCCACCTGGGTGAGATCAGTATTCTGCTGCAGTATGGCCTCCCATTTCATGCGTCTTCGCGTCAGCGTCTTCAGATAACCATCCATGAACTTGGAATAGTTGTTATAGTCGAAGTAGTCGCCACGCTTGAAGCCATACTCGTCCACATCGCTAACCACGTGCGGTTAAGATAAGTAAATCCAAAAGGTGAAAATAGTGAAAAGTAATGCTATAAATAAGTTACACACCTGAACTTTGAACTGGCGGTAGCATCCATATGAACTTTTGACTAGAGTTTTTATTGCTCACAATGAATAAGTGTGGTTTTGTTCGTTGCTTGCCACGATTTCCTGTCAGCCGCTTCCCGCTCGTGGCATGGCCCAAAAACAAAAAACGATTTGGTATTCTGTGCACGTTGCGCGGTTACGTCGCTGCCTTTTCCTCTGCCTGTGCCGCTGCAACTGCAACGGATTGAACCTGCGTTAAACGTCAATAAACATTGCCTTTAACTTGGCCCTTCATTTATTTATAAGCCCATTTGGCCTTCAGGAGCACTACCTCTGCCTATGCCTCGTCCTTGAGCGATGGGTGGCCTTTTGTGCGCGCCCACTCGTCGTTGTTGTTGCTGCCTCTGCTGCTGAACTGATAACATTAACGGACCGAAGACCAAATTGGGTGGGCGGCTAGCGAACAGGTGAGGAGGGGGACGGGCGTGGGCTTATAGGGACGCTCCGCTGGGCGTGCGCTTGCAGGTGGCCGATGGTAGTTTATCTAACTGTTGTGATTTCATTGAAGATTACTGGTCCGCTTATCAGTGGGTTTAAGTTGGTTTATTTTTGTTTTTATTAGCGAATAAAATTCGCGTCTTGTGACTGGTGACCAGAGGCAGGAACTGGTGAAATGCCACAGGCAGAACTAGTTCCATTCTGCAATGTTCGTGATACGATATTTCGAACTGGCTTATAATCCTTAAACTGGTTTTAAAAAAAAATTTTTATTTATTTATATGTGTAAGTTATGATAATAAGAAAAATATTTTACTACCTTTTGTTGTTACCAATGTTGCAAATAATATTCATGAACGTTTATTTACCCGATATATCGGATAACATACACCCACACGTGATCGTTGCGCACATCTGTTGCACGAATCACCCGATGCCATCATTCCGCGTCATACGTCATTCAGTCGCACCGTGCCTTGAGAAATTACGCAATGTCTAACAACTAATGTAAAACACAAGCGATTTACCTAACAGTTGGCTAAATTCCGTGTGTATACACACTCCGATCGACCCAGAGAGGCACTACACCCAGCTTCTGACCACTTCAAGATGCTGCGCACGACAGCAACGATGGGAATCATGGCGGCGGTGGCCGTGAAAGCGGCACCCGAGCCCCAAAAACCAGCATCAGTCAGTGGGTCGGATTGCAGCCTGGTCTGCCGGCCCAGCGAACTGCCCATCTATGGCAGCCTGCGCAAGACAGAGTAAGTCCTAAGGTTCAGGTCGGGATATGTAACTTACAATTATTTTATAATTCTGTACAGACCGAAACCAGAGCGGCATCCACCACAAGACTCGGCGCTGCACAAGAATCTGGAGACCGGAGTCCGCTATGTGCGCGAAGAGGTCCAGGCTGGCTACAAGGCTGTGGCCGATCGGGCCGGCGTTGTGGGTCATTACTTCGAGACGGCCAAGGCACACACCCAACACACCATCGACCTGCTTAACGAACCCCAGAACTCCTTGCATCGCAGCGGAGCCATTGTTGTGGGCGGTCTGGCGGGATTCATCTTTGCTGCTCGCGGAGGCTTCATCAAGAAGGTGGTGTACACGGGTATAGGAGCTGGAGCGGTTGCCTCTCTGTGCTATCCTCGCCAGGCTGAGGAGAACTGCAGAGTGGTCCTGTATGAAGGCCGCAAAATCTTCGCAGTGGCTTATAACTTCATAAAGGGTGTCAAACCAGGAGACGAAGTGTCAATCGAGCCTATACAGAAGTTCCCAACCTCCCTAGAGGACCTTAAGTTCTTGGCAGGCGACCTATACGAGGAGGCTAAGGATTTGATATTCCCCAAGAAGAAGTAGGAAATGCCCTCTCGCAAAAGGGAACTTCCCAATCACCCCCAATCCGGCCGTGAAATGTGCATCGATTTAAGTTCAATGGAGCTTGGATTATTTCCCATTATGTGATCAAGCTGGAAGTAGTTATATTTTTTCTTGTTGCCAGAAATAAATTGGCCTCGAGTCCGAAAAGTGAAAATCCGGCAGCTTTGTTGTACCTGTGTGTGGGACGTAGCCAGAACCCGCTCTCACATGAAGCTTCGAGTGATTAATTGTTCGACTGCGGTAGAGGTGTTGGTGTCAAGTCAAATGTCACGCCAGTGAGCTGTTGAAAAGTGAAATCCATAGGAAAGTGCCGGCTGCGGATGTCTCCCATCTTTCGCATCTCCCCACGTGCAAATCGATTGTGCCAATCATCATCGTCAATGGCCCGCAGCCGAACATGGCGATGACTGCAAATTGTGTGAATGGTTATGACCATTCCGATGTGCCCTCGGGGGTCTACAATTGCTTTGGAGGAAATCAACTCTTATGTCGATGGGTATCTCTAGACCTGGACCAGATCTCCGAGGGCTATGTTATTTATTAGACAATATTTTCAGTAATCTTTTATTGCTCTCGAGCTTTCGCATAGCTATAGATAAACTTGTTCTTTGGGCAAGATACAAACAAAACGTTCGGATGTCTGCATGCATTTGTTTACAATAAATATAGATTTAGTTAATTGTTAAATATTACTATACTAAAATACCAACAACTTGTGGACATGCAAATGACTCTCAATCCCCCCTCTTCCCATCCCCCAAAACCCTTGCGGCTTTATATGTACAAAGAGATAATCCCTTTTTGAAATCCAGTCGATTTCCTTGTTAGACAACTTACAGCGCTAACATTTTCGCTAGACTAACTTAGTGGGCTTTGACTGTGTGTGTGTGTGTGTGTGTGTGGATGTATGTGAGTGTGCGTAAATGTGAGTGCGAATAGGGGCGTGGCAGTGGCCCACAAGGCCAAGTCAAGGTCAATGCTGTTAAAATTGTTAAATTGAAGCTAACTACGCTTAACATTCCTTTAAGATAAATCACACAAGACTTATAGATACAACTGATAAATTAAAACAAATAACAAAAGTCGAGCTGCCATTATTATAATCGCCATGTTCTCCAGGCTGATCATCATCTGACATGCTCCAGTATCCACGGCGTAAACTTGGAGATTCGCGTACAAACTCCAGGCAGATTGGCCTCAGCACAGCCAATGCCCCAGGAGATGATACCGGCTAGGAAAAAGCGACCGTCTTGGGATTTGGCCTGGAAGATAATAAGATTGTGGATTAGTATACTTTTAGTAGGACTATTATAATTCAGATCTCACCTGTAGTGGACCTCCTGAATCGCCTTGACAGGAGTCCTGGCCTCCTGTTTCGTAGCCTGCGCACAGGAATATGTCCGGAATGAATTCCTGGCGACCGGCGCGCATAAACATCGATTTGCAATTGTCGTTACTCACAATTGGCACGGATACCTAATAGAAGGGTTAAGATAAGTCAAGATAATAGAAAATAATTTTTGATTAAAAAAAAAACTTAAGCTTTGCAGTTCCCCTATAAAAATCTCTTTTATGATCTTCCAGACAATTCCTAATTGCTATCTCCCCATCAAACTCCAAACCAACGTTCATTTGCCTGCATTCAATTCGCTGCGGTTTTCATTGTCGCTGGATTTTGAGATGGAGTTTTAACTAAACCTGGGTTAACACTCACCTCCTGGAGAACGGAGGGCAGGGTGCCGCCCTCGCTGAGACGACCCCAGCCGGTTACCGTGGCGTTCATGCCAATTAGAAGGCTCTCAGTCTCGGGCAGGCAAATGGGACTGACATGCGGCGCGAATTCGAGCGGCTGCTCCAGCTTGACCAGCGCCAGGTCGTACTCGTACGTGAGGAAGCTGTACTTGGGATGCACCACCTTCTTGGCCACCCCGCGTTCAATATAGGGCAGCTGTTCCTGCACATGCGAGAAGTCGTACTCGCCCACGCGGATGCGTATCTGTGAGATGAGCAGGCTGAAAATGGAAGAGGGATAGAGATTAGCTTAAGATCCAGATTCAATTCCGGTTTTGGACTTGGGCTGGGGCTTGGTCATGGGCTGATCCACTCACTCGTCCACGCAGTGTCCGGCGGTGGCTATCCAGTTCTCGTTGATCAAAGCGCCACCGCAGCGGTGGGTGCTGGAGAATCCAAAGAAGGAGGTGCGCCGCACCGACACCTGCCAGGGCCAACGACCGAAGGCCGCACTCTTACCGCCCACGATTCGCGTCTCTGGTCGCGCCAAAGTCGGCACTCCGCACTCTGCAATTGCAGCAATAACAAATTGCATTGTCAAGTTGGATTTTTGCAACAGTCAGCAATACATTTCTATGAAAGCGATTTGGTGTTTACTTTTTGGGAAGGTCTTTTTCGAACATCACAAATTGATATTTTTTATCAGTTAAAGAAATTTTCATTCATAAATTTGTTCTATCTTACCATATTACTCAAAAATGTAAATTTACTCAAATCATTAAAATTAGTATTTAACTACAATAAAGTCAATTTGGGAAAACATTTTTATAAATTTTCCAAAAAAATTGCTTTTGAGTTCAATAAAATATCAAAAATATCTATAAGATATCTATCTACAATCTTATTAATGATACTAAAGTTTATATTCCCAAGTGCATGGGATTTTCACTTACCACTGCGTGCTGCTGAGATGGTCTTCACATGGCCAAGAGCACCGGAGTCGGGGCTGGAGGAGTCCGTTATCTCATTGGTCTCGATGCCGGAGGTGGCCAAGACCGGCGGACGATGCGTGGGACGTTGGCTGCTGGTGACGATTCCGCTGCTGCTGGAGCTAATCGGCCTGGTCGTGGTGGGTGTCTTGCCCGCAGTGGTTGTAGAAGTTGAGCCCAAGGTGCTGGAGATCGCCGTGGTAGGCCGCTGGTAGGGCCTTGTGGGTTTGCTTGTCGTGGTCTTTTTCGTTGTGGTGGCCGGTGTGGTCGTCCGTCGAGTAGTTGTTGTCGTTGTTGTAGATGTCGTCGAGGTGGTTGGCGATGGCCAAACCGAGGACGAGGATGCGGCTAATGATGTGCCCGGCGACAGCTGCAAGGCAGGCCAAAGTGGTAAACATTATGCTAAAATACTCGACCAGGCTGGAGAGGCAAATCATTCTCCATTCCCGTTTCTCATTCCCCATTTCCATTCTCATTCCCATTCCACGCAAAGAATCAATTTTTCATTTCGCCGCTAAATCTGCATTAAGTGGGAAACTTTCTAGGTGAACAGATGAAAGCCTAGATGCTCTAACTAAGGAATCTAAGATTTCTTAACTTCTGTAAGCTTGAATGAAATTTTAACAAACAAATAAGACATATAATAAATATATTCCGAAAGCTTTAAAATATGTCACTGTTTCACCTGTCTCATTTAAATTTTCTTCGAAACTGAAACCGATTCTTTTTCCTGGACTTTAAATTAGCAAGAGCAAGTGGCACGATCTGTTTAAGGTACCCTTTTCCTGGAAGAGTCTTAAATTCCACACACACCCCTGAGAGCGGCAGGCGAATCTTACATCAACTTTTGGCTCCAGCTCCGCATTGTGCAAACAATAAAATGTCCCCCAAGGCTGTGGCCTGCCATTATGGGGCTGAGGTTGAGGCTGAGGCCCAGTCCCAGTCGAGGAGTAAATGACCTCGTGGCTCGTTTGTTTCGCTTTCGACATCAATGCATCACCCAGAACCCAGAACACACAGAACCTGAAGCTGAACCTGAATCTGAACCTGGGACCCAAAGTCGAACCAGACTCGTATTTACATACCTGCGGCCTGGTGGGGCGATGCGGCGGCTGGGGGTGATGCGTCTGGCCTGGCCAAATCAGCGACGTCGTTGATGTCGTCGAGGTGGACGTTGATGGTGCACCGGACGGTGGCGGAGGTGTCCGGTCGTAGACAATCGGTTTCTTTGTGGGCTTCGATGGTTTCGAGGGTCGCGCGGGCATTGGCAAATTGACGATGCCGGGCTTGGTCCAGCCGGTGGGTCGCGGCTTGGTAATAAAGCTCGGCTCGGTGGTCATCTGCCAGTGGTTCTGCTGATTCTGCTGATGCTGCTGCTGGGTCGATGTATGCCAAATGCTATCTGCGGATGGTATTTGTTTGTTACAATTCATGCTAACAATGCACCACCGTTGGGCGGGGGCGCCAAGCCTCCTCAAACTCCACTTACTGGGACTCGAACTGGAGCTGGAACTAGAGCTGGGATGTGAGGCGGAGCTTTGCAGATCCGACGCGGTGGTGGGCTTGCTCTGGTATGGCGGCGGATGCGGGCGTGCCAGAGTTCCCTGATGGTGTGGACCCGAAGGACGAATCACAAGGGTGCCAGCGCCATGAGGACGTTCTATGGTGGTCATGCCACTGCAGAGTATAGTAGAAGATATTTTATTTTTATAAATATTTTATTTATTAGTTCTCATAGAATGAACATAGATAGTGATTAATTAAATCAAACTATTAATTACCCAATCTCTTACCTGATCATGGGCTTGTAGGGCGCCGGAGGACGCGGACGGAGCGTAAGCGGCTTGGTGGGCCTCGTGTAGGAGAAGGCGGTCTGCGGCAGGACGATGTTGTCGGTATAGTTGTGCGTGCAGCAGGAGCCGAACATGAAGGAGTCGACGCACATGCCCACGTGCCTGCCCTCGGACTTGATGCACTCCCACACAAACATGCAGGTGCCCTCGACGCGACCAAAAGAGCATGGCTTGGGGCTAATCTTAAAGTTCTGGCCGCGCTGCAGCTGTTGCATCTGTGGATAGCCTTCCAGACGGTGGGGGCTGCGGTAAAAGCCACCGGTCATGTCATCATCCTCGTTGGAGGTGGGTGAGCCCAGGGACAGCGTTTCGAGACTGTCGGGCGGTGTGATCAGCGCCGCTGCTGCCGTGGCCAGACAATTGACTAAGATTAAGGCTACTAATACTTCTACTATTTGGTCTAGACTGCGCCTACTCCTCGCCGCAGCTCCTCTCGATCCTTGCGAGCCCGCTGCTCTGTTGACTAGCCAATGCCGTTTGGGACACATCTTGGTGGCTGCTGCTGCTATGCTTCTGCTTCTGCAAGGAACCAAAGAACGGGCATGACAGTTTTCGGACATTAGTCTTGTTTCGCCTGCCGGAACCTATCCACCAGAACCCTGTTTAGTCCACTCCTCCCTCTCGACCCCCCTACTAATTAAGCGCACTTGTCGCAACAAAAAGTGGCAGAAAAAAAAAACCCAAAGTCAGGCAACGATTTCTACTCTTTATGATTGTTGCTACTGCTGCTGCTGCCGCTCCTGCTTCTGTTGCAGATGTTGCCGCTGTCGTTGCAGTTTGTTTTTGTGTGCTGCTCGCTGCTGTGCAGTCAGTGACTGGTTTAATTACAACTTTTCACTTTTGCTTCATAATCAGCTTTTTTCGTGGCTGTTGTCTTGTTTTATTGTTGAACAAGACTGAACAAAATTTATTGCGATCGCACGACGGCAACGACGACGTCAAACGACACATGCTACAATTAATAATTTCTTGTCCCAAAAGCAAGTGCACTGCTGCCCCACCCCGCTATTCCCAACCATGCCAACATCCCAACTAACTCTTGGCTGCAGCTCATCAAAGCGGAATCGTTGTGGCGTTTTTTCAACAAATTTAATTAAAGTTTAACCAATCCATTGCTGGCCAAATTAGATGTTTGCCTTTATGGTTTGTAACCTAAACTGGTAGCACACATCGCTGCCTCCTGTAGGCAGGCAGCCACCACCTGCCCCCCATTCCCCTCCGGTTGTCAACTCACCTGTGTCTGAGTCTGGGTCTGATTAAAGTCGCTTGCTTCATCGGTAACGTGCCGGGCGCATGTCTGCAATGGATTGCAAGGAGAATAGTAATAATCAGTATGGTTAGCAGAAGTCGGTTGTTAGAAAATCGTATGCTTTTTTTTTTCGGTCTTTGGTTTTTTTTTATTGTGCCAAGCTATGTTTTGTGCTGTCGAGAATGCTGGGCGGAATGTGGCCGGCTGTAATTAGTGGGCTAACTGCGGGATATATCTAACTATATGCGGTCATGCATATGGCCATGGCGATGGCGATGGAGTTAGTGCTGCAAATGGCCCACCCACCAGACAACCCACACTCACGAGATTGCAGTATTAGCCAGCCACAGATCGTAATCGCCAAGATCGCCATCATAATGATGATTATAATTGGGAGACTGTGGCGGAAGGAAATGTGGCAGAAGTTGTTGGGGCATGTGTAAGTGGATGTGCTGACAGCACATTTGGGGGCGGGATCGTGGCAATTATGCGACACTTAAGAATATTATGCAATTCATGGAATCGGAGATGAAGGAACTTAAGATTGGATAGATGTTGTTGGTGGTGAGTAAATGTTCTGTGATCGACAGAATGATATTTTTAATGGCTTAATGATACATAAATCTTGGGAAGCATTTTAAAAGGAAAATATACCGTTGTATTTAAAGGATAAATTAAAAGCAAGCACCGTTGGAGAAGATATTTACGATTCCTGATTCTACATCAAAATTTCTCTGTCATAAAAATCTTTCTTTTTTAATTGTTAATTTCAACTTTCATGGGAAAATGTAGATACCCAAACATCTTTGATCCAACACACATCAAACATGCTGAACTCGAAGCATGCCCCAACCAAATCCCGTTTATCGCCTAATCATCTTAATGTTGATTATAATTACAAATCGTTTGAATGCAATTTGATACCAAATACTTTGTGCACATCATTGGCTTGGAAAACGCTTCATGTCCATGTTGATTGAAACCGAAATTGATATTGATGTTGGAGTTAAAGTTGGAGTTGGAGTTTGAGTAGATGTGGAAGTGGAGGCTTATATGCTGCGGATGAACATGTGCCACGAGATTAATTTCAGCTTTGGCCACGAACATTTTTCCCCACATCGTGGCCGACTTCGTGCCGTGTTCTCCATGGGCCTCTCGAATCGATTCATCAATTGACCGGCCGGGTCCAAAGACTGCTCAATGGACTCCATTGAGTCAGAGACGCAAACGAAACGCTAACGTTAGCGCTCACTCCTAATAACTCTATTTCCAATTGGGAGAGGGGGTAAAGATGTGCTTGCCCGTGCCACACGCCGTCTATATAGCTGTATAGCTATATATATACCGATCCATTCGGCGCATGAACCGTTGGAAATCGATTTCGTTACGTTTTCATTTCCTCAACGAAAGCAGCATCCAGTTTCTTCTTAACTTCTTTGCTTTTAGTACTTTTGGGCTTGGTTTTTTTTTCGCAGAGAGTTAGTTCGTAAAGAAAAAAATACCCGAAACGTAATTACCCCGTTTAAACGCCCCAAAAACAGAAGCAAAGGAAAAAAGTAGCAGTAGTGGTAGCAAGTCCAAGTAGCAACAGCATTCTCTCGTGCTAATGACTATCTTTAGGAGCCCAAAACGAGCCAAAGACGGGTAGCAGCAGCGGTCTGACAAACAGTCAAATGGGCAGACATCGACTCTGGCCCAGACAGACAAAGCCTCAAATTCAGCCAGCCAGAGGCCAAATAATTTTCCAGCAAAATGCCACAACTATTAGAAAAATGTTATCCGAACTTGGCCGACTCTCAGCCTGACCTGCTAGAGTTTTGTCTGTGATTTTGGGCACTCGGCAATGCTCACTGACAAAAATTTTATAGACTTAAATTGATTACAGATTTAAATAGGGAATAGAACTATTGACCTTATATCTTTGGCTTAGATCAGCATTGAAGCAAGTCAAAGATTTTTGAAATTTCATTTTTGGAAAAGTAGTTTTATAATTGGTTCTGCTCTAGATTTTACTTTCATTTATTTGATTTTAGTTTTGATGTTTTTCCTGTTTTCTAGACCTCTGTTTCCGTATCATAAATTTTATGTTTTTCTAGGAATTTTCTAAAAATCTCTTAAGTAAAAGCCCCTCTTTTGCTGAGTGCAAGTACGTGCTGAGCAGCTCAGCTCAACTCAAAGCTGGGCCTGCAGCAGCCGACTTAGTGGAAGAGAGTAATTGTAATAACAATTGCGCAATTTGCGTCAGTCACTTAACTTCCTCCGCCCCCCATTGCTGCCCTTTTCCACCGCTATTGGCGTGTGGTAAAGTGAGGAAAAGTCTCAGCCCGTTTAGTTAAGAGCACTCCTGTCTGGGGGCATCGGCATCTGGCCAGCTTTAGCATCAGCTTCAGGTCCATCTCCAGCATCAGGTATCAGCTTTGTAGGATGAGGAGGAAGACTTTTACCCGGTAGGCGTTTTGTCAATCGGTTGGCGATCGACAGGCGACGGCACAGATGACAGGCCGCCCAGGCTAATGAAAAAGATAAACAACTGGATCACACAAGCCACTAGCGACTTAAACAGCCTGACACGCAGCACGCTGGTACACTGTGCGAAATTTATGGCTCCTTATAACTTTTTTTAATTATTAAAGATATATGCCCAAAATGGTTGTATAAGCTAGCCATTTCTAATGAATTTTATTAAAGCAATAAACCATCTCATAAGTTTATGCCAAAACGTTTTTAATCTTTATATGGCCAATAAGATGTCTCATATAAATATGAAAAAATCTATGCAAGTAGTGAACATTTCTCTCTGTGCCTATAGGAAGGGTTTCTTTCGATGGGGGCATGGGGCAACTGAGATGAAGCTGGGCTGGCGGCATCTTTTGAGATAGTGAAAGAGGGATAGTGAGCGAGAAAAAGTGAAGAAGGGGCTCGGAGCTTGTTATAATCACTGCGCGTAACGCAAACACAATTTTTGAGTGGCCGGCCATGTGAAATCCATTCCATCCATACCTGGAGGCGGTCACTCGATGCTACAAAAAGGGGAATCTAAGTAAGAGAATCTGAGAGAGTCTGAGAGAGTGCGATGTGTGAGTACTTAGAAGAAGAAACAGTGAGGGGGAAAAGTCGTTGCACCTGAGACGACCGCTTATCAATGTGAAAATCAGTAAGAACTAAGCGAACCAGTCTCAAACAGCGGAAGCATCGCAGTAAATTGAAAGAAGTGTTTAAAATCTCGTTATAACTGAGAATGGCTGTAGGAAATATGGAGCTATAGTACCGAGCATGATAAATGACAGCCATTTGATATAGGGATTAATGGCCAGAAACCGTTTTACGAGCCTAGTAAAAAGTTCTTGATGAATATTATGGATGGAGGCCCGTGGTTTTATATGGCCCAGGCATATGCAGCTATGATATACCAATGATGCCGTGAAACATGACATCACTTTAAGATTAAAAAAAAAAACAAAAAAAAAAACTTATCCTTCACCTAGGCTATTAATTTCACTTGGGAAAAGAGTTAATTTTATGACTGTGTTTACATCAGTGGAACAAACCATATTTATGGTGCTATAAACTAAACAATTTTCTTAGCTTTTGTAAAAATTTTGTTTTTATTTTTTATGTTCAATGCATAAATTAAATCCCCGAACACTTTCTAATAGAGTTATTAAATGGATTTTTCGCATTTTCTCGCTTTTCCACGACTTTTGTTGAATTAATTCGTTTACAAGTTGTAAATATCACAGGATGCTATTTATTCCCCAACTTTCTTACTTTCTTTTTGTTTTTCATTGTGATCTCTTTTTTTTTTTGAACGCATTAACAAACTTTATGGAGCGACTGTTTAAAGCCTGGCGCCTATTACCTGTTAGCTGATTGAAAACATAAGCGAGCGAAGAGCGTTAATTAATTGCATTGCAGCCTTGTGATGCATTACGCATACGCAATGTGGAACGTATCCTCTGGCGTGGCATTGGCCGGGGCAACAATTTCGGTCCGAAATAAAAGCAACACGTTTCCAACCTGTTAAGTGTCTGAGACTGGGCCACAAACATAAATCACCGCCAGAGCGGGCTCGGTTTCCCCCTGGTTTATTAACCTCACGCGGCTAATGGCCAGTGGTCGATGCTTGGTGGCCAATGGCCAATGGCCAGTGGGCATGGTCAAGTGCTATGCAACCTGTGGCTGCCTCTCTGCTGCACTTGCACCTTTTGACTGACCGCAAAGTTTAGAGTCTGCCCCAAGGGCCCCCAGCTGTTATTGTTGTTTGTCTGTTTATGTGTTTGTTTGTTGGTTTATTTGTTTGTTTTTCCCTCCTTTTTTCTTTGCTTTTGTGAGGCATGGGCTTTCCCGCTGCCAGAAATGAAAAACAAAAAAAAACAAGGGGTGAACTGGCTATCTAGCTGGCCCATTGTCCAAATATTTACTTTGTCTTCTTGGCCAGGCTCAAGCCGCATGACGGTGCAGTTTTTAAGGTCGGGTTCTAAAGTGACTTCTCGTAATTTATTTTCCACTCCTCGGCATAATTAATTCGGTTTTCATTTCCAGTTTTGCTTTTCCCCTAGCACCTATTCTAAATGGCTTCATTTTCGATTTCATAACGGTCACTGGTTGCCTAAAAGCTGAATGGATTGGTAAATTGAAAGACCTCATTTCGGGCACGATCATGACTATCGGGACCAGTCCCTTGAGGAAGTTACGGCAACACGTGCGTAACCGTAACGCATCCAATTGGCCGTAAATGAGGGCCTAAATCAGGCCAAAAAAAAAAGAGCAGAAATAAATGTAAAAAAGTAACAGTCTCTGCATTGCAAACATAACACTTTCAGTCAGACAAAAATACCAGGCAAATATGTTTAAGCAAAAAGTCGTGCAGACGGGCAATCACTTTTTCAGCTTCAGTTGGTGTGTGACAATTTGACAGATTGAAAGTGAAAAGAGCTCAAAGTAAATGTCCCTAAGTGCTGGGGCACAGGGATAGATAGCCACCGCCTTATCGTTAATTTGCATGAAGTTCACGTTGCCATCACTTTGTAGCACGCCCCAAGCTATTGGACGGATCCCATGGATATATGGACTCAAAATCGTGGCCCATCCAGTGGGTCAATCAGCATTCACTTGTCCCATTCGCAGACAACTCGAGTGGCAGGCAGCTAAAAAAAGGGCCTCCGGGCAGATGAGCTGCAGAAAGTTAAGAAAAGAAAAGTGGCGAAAATATAGAATGGAGTTCCAAAGTGCCACAGTGCCACATCAATTGAATCCATTCACACCTCCAGACTCATTTAAACTAGATCTCTGGCTCTGTTGGCGAAGAGTGTCAAGAGTGTTAATTGCTGTGTCCGCAATTAATGCAGAAATAATTATACATTTTGCCGCTGACTGTGTTTGTGCCATTCATAATCACAGACCATTCGTTCATTCATTTAGTTGGCCATTCATTCGGTTAGCTCGGTTGGCCAATGATTAATCCAGCAATTGCATTCATCGTCTAGACTTTAATTGAGGCTTATAGCTGTAAATAGTATCTGTGTTGATGTCATAAAATCAACATAATGGCTAACAATCGGATGTGACCCGAAACCTGGTAAACTCTTCTCTCATTATTCTCATTTATTGATTGACTGCGAATGACATTTATGGAGTAACAATGGAGTCGCTTAAATAATTCTCAAAGGCAAGTCTTCCTCTTGACCCTGATTATTATGCCTTTAGAGTCATACTTTGTTGTTATTGTTTTCGGTGGGAATTTCTTGCTCTACTCTGGAATTATACATTTCTATATTTTCGGGCTCAAGGGCAGGGAACCACAACGATTGCCTCATAAAAGTTAAGTTCTGGATTTTACTTAGGTTAAACCGGGGCATGACATGGAAGCAATGTTGAAACTCAGAGACTTGTCATCAAGTTTAAGGTTTCTTTTCATGAAATATAAGAAAAATGCAATTGTTTTGATTTTATTTCCTAACATAAATAATTATTAACCTGAAGGCTTGGGCTAAGATTTGGTTTTATAACAATTAGGTAAAGTTGAAATGCAAACCTAAGGCCACTGCACTTTTATTGTATAACTGTCCCCCTAAAGCCAAGGTCTTTCAAAATCACCGTAATAATCAAAAATTAAACTATCGTACTGATATTATTTCACCATTTCCCAAAAGCGACAGAAATGTTTGACGCATTTAAATAATTTTGCGCCTGAAGTTGTACAAATGGAATAATGGGTTCGGAAAATTATATAACTGCTGGAAGCAGCCAAAGGCAGTCGAAAAGACGGTCACAGTTTGTTGACTGCTGACTGCTGCTGCTGCTGCTGCTGCTTGCCAACAGTGCAATATTGGGCCGAAAGGCCCAGAGACACCGAAATTGGTTAAGAGCAGGAGGACAAATTTGGTTTTACGCGCAAGTGAATTGCGCTTTATGAGCGCTCGCTTTGATTGCCGCACGATGGTGTAGTATGGGATATTATAGATGGGAATGTATAGGATGGAGTGGGTTGTATATATGGTATATGGTATATGGCATATGGCATATGGAACCACATTGCAACAATTATTCTGCTCGATGACTTTCGCTAATAAAAACGACACACGCTGCGGCAGAAGATAGCCCGAGGTTGACACAACCCAGACAGTCTGAGAGATGACTTCGAACGGTGGGGGGAATTTTATAACACTCCCAGCCGGATAATGGCCTCTCTGGATTTACAGACTAGACACGAAATGTGGCAACTATTGCGAAATTAGAATGGCTGGGCAAATTAAGCGAGGCCAGGAGCATAATCAAATTCGTTAGGGGGGAAAATTACACCTGCCAACGATTATAAAACAAATGTTGATGTTAATTTCGTGGTAAATGCATATATTAAGGGAGTTCTCAAGTTGCTAGAAGTGTTTTTTCTAAATTGGACAACCTAACCTAACGGGCTATTTCCTAATTAAGCGACTTGGTGTGGAATAACAAAAGTGATCATTAAAATATTAGCCTGGGCTGAGAACCATAAAACACTAAAAGAATTTTTCAAAGAGTGAGAGAGAGGGAGAAGGGTTCTGAAAAATATTAATCCAAAATATTTAAAAAATGGTTTTGTGTTGATGCATTTTTGGCTTATCTAAGAATGGCATCGTTAGTTTTTGGTGCTAGGTGAAAGCTTAGACAGTAAAGACAGAATTAATACTTCAACTTACTAGACTTTCAGTTCAGTTGCGGTTGAGCTATTTGGCTTTGATCGTTAAATTAACGCCTTGTTTTAAGTGTCTGGTAAATGTTTAACTATCTATCTATTTTCGTTTTTTTTTTTATGGATTATTAAATTTGATTTTCACTCTTTGCCATTTTGGTCACTTGGCTGGGAATTTTTCTTTAACGATTTATCTCTCCGATTGCTTTTATTTTAAAGATTTGCACGCACACTATTTTCGGGAATTTTCGTTAATTATTTTTCTTTATTTTAGAGTCGCGGACTTTCCATCGTTTTCATGGTCAATAAAACACAATTATTCCTCGTGTAATGGCAATCAAATTGTAACGAAAAATTTCTTTTCGTTTTTGTTTGCGATTTTTGTTTCTCCTTTTGTTTTTAACAATTTTGTGTTTAATTGATTTGCATTTCACTGCCAAGCCGTAAAACTTAACTTTTGTTAATAAATGTGAGCTAGTTTTTTTTTGTTTTGTTATTTTTTTTTAAGCTGTAACAACAATCACCGCCACACTCTTAATTAATTGTTGCTGAGAAACCTTTATTTGATTTTTCCCCAGCTTTAGCTTTATTTGTTTTCTTTATTGCTGCGTCTCGAACTGAAAAATTTATTTCGCTTGTGATTGAGTTGAGCTTTTATTGCACCGCGATTTTCCTTGGCCTTTATTGTTTTTCACTTTTTGTTTCGGTTGATTTCTTTTTATTTTCTCACCGCCTCTGCAGACGTGGGCGTTATTGTGGGCTGCAAGACAAAACAGAAGTAGAGCTGTTAATGGAAATGGGCCAACGATCGAATTAGAAATCAGATGCCCAGCATCAATTTTTCGGCTTCACTCTCCGTCTCGATCTCGACCTGCCGAAATTTATGCAAAAAGCCCTCGACAGCCATGTGATTAGGCCAAAAAACCAAAAAACACTAAAAACCAAAAAAAAAAAAGGCACGGTCCGTTCTCCGGACCCTATTTGCATTCGATTCGCTGGTAGCCAAACGGAATTGCCAAAAATTGATGCATATCAGATGGATCGTGGGGAGTCCATTCCACCGAACAGGTTGGAACACTGGGCTCTGGCTTCCAACTAGGCAAGCGGCTGCCACTTGCCCAGTTGGCCTGTTAGACCCAAATTGACGACTATCTTGAGTTATGAGGCGTTATGGAAATGGAAATTGCATTTTACATTCGCGGACCACTCAAAAGTGACAGTTGAAAGCGTCGACGACGACGAAGATTTAACGAATTAATGTTTCGTGTTTATAATTTCGGATCTCTGATTCGAAAGTGACAAACGTTGTGGCAGGGGGGGTCCCCTCCCCACCAATTGATGGCCTCCTAATTCAAAGATGCTTAACTGGGTGAGAGACTAACACTATCACATCAGTAATTGGACTAACAAATTGAGTTTTCTCTGGCTTGAGGAAATTAGTGTAAATTAAAGCCACATAAAAACAAATTCCTTTCTTTTGGGAAAATGTTGGGGGCTTACAAAAGGCCATCAAATGCTTGCTCTTACCAAAATAAACTTAATGAGGCATTAACTTTGAGCTAGTTAGAATTATAACTTAGAAAAACTAGTTTACCTAACAACTTTTTATTTAAACGAAAACCATTTTCAATTTATAATTAGTATAACTATTAAGCAAATAAAAATCAAAAGTTTATTAAGGAAACGTTAATGAAAAACCAGTAACTAAGCCATAATCAACTGGATGTTCTAACCATTTTTTTTATACCTTTCCATTTCAATCAAAGTCAAATCAATGGTACTTTATTATCTAATTAACTGCCTAATTATTTTTATATTTTTTTTATAGTTATAATTAAGCTTTGATATGGGAAAAACATTAAACTGTAAAAAAAATATAATAAATAATGTTCATATTATTAATTTTCTTTATGATAATAATTTGCAGTTTACCACTTATTTCCCTTGTTTATCTTTTCTCTTTGGCAATTGCACTTGCAACCGCTGGAAAGTCTGAGATTTCCCCCACCTTCAAGACACCACAAGAATCACTTTCAGCTGGCTCAGACCGCAGCTTCCTGCCCCTTTGGCCCCTTAACGCTCCCTGCCCCCAGTGGCCAGTGGCTCATTAAATGTGAATTTGCACTTCTTTGCCGCTTAATGGTATGCTTCCTTGTGGCACGAAGACTGCGACGACGTCGACGACGACGACGACGACTGGAAGTTGTCAACGGCCAACAATTAACTGGTGCATCGCCTCAGTGCCACGCTGCTCTTGGCCAGTTGGCCACTCTTGGCCCGATCTTTTGTGTTGCCAGCCCCTTGCCTTAATTGTGCCAAAGTGCTGCCAATTTTTATTGCCGACTTATCGCTTGATTTCCCCCTACCACCCTTACCCCCATTGCACTTTTCCACCATTTCGCGGCTGCTGTGTTGTACTTCACTTAATGAATCCCGTTAGCCAGTTGCAGCCGCAAGTTGATTTTTCGCAACGCATTCGCAGAACAAACATCAAACTGCTGTTGCTTCTGCTGATGCTGCTGCTGCGGACTCCATGGAGCGCTATCAAAACTAATTTATATGCAAATGCAGTTCAAGTAGCTGCAACAAAAGACAAAGTCAAAGACTTTGGTGTGGAGTCCCTGGTGGAAAATTCACGGCACCAGTTTCAACGGTGGAAAAGTCTTCAATAAACAGTGGGAAGTAAACAGAGTTCTGATCTGAGTTCTTATGCCTTCGATGCACAGAAAGAAATGAGATAGTAATTGGATTTTATATAATGATATATTGGGGTTGCAGATATAGTTTAAGAGAGTGTTCCTGCTTAACATCCCTTATTATCTTTTTACACTTTTTCAATCTTAAACCTTCAAGTTCTTTGATTTTTGAATAAATGTTTTGGGAACAAAAGGAAAAATGTGTTAAATTTTTTACATATAATTTTCAGTGCTTACTATGAGTTGGAGGCCCATGAAAAAACGTTTTTCTAATATCAAGAAACTTTTGTCAAACTCTAAAAAAGAGTTACGGAAAGATGAAATCATTGTTTCATTATTTGGCTTTAGACTTTAAAAATTGTTGGGAAATGTAATAACTTGTTGAATGTTAAACAATTCTAGAAAATTATGGACACTTCCAAACTTTTTTTTAGAATTAGTTTTAAAACACTTCAAAAATATTGAAAGGACTATTGATATTTTTTTTTCTTCGTGCCACTTGTACTCTCAATGCGAAAATTCTGGCTGCAAGGCAAAGAGCCAGCACACACGGCATGATTTACCGTAGAGAACAACAAAGAAATTAATTAACTGCACTTGTATTAGATGCCTGTCCGGCTGGCTGCGAGTGTGTTGCATCGGTGAGTATCTGTGAGTGAGTGCATTAGCTTGGCAGTTAAATGCCTCACGAGCAAGTCGCCCAGCCCGCGAGTTGGCATTTGACAGTGTCGGGAGCAGGAAAAACTGGCTGCCGCGGCATTAACTCACTTTGCATTTATTTGCAGCTGAAGCTGAAGCGTTTTTCGTTGTTCTCGCTTCGTGATTTTGTTGTTTCGTTGTTTATTTTTTCTCTTTTACTGGCCAACAAGTGGCAAGTTGAGCAAAGATTGCAGTTTACATTTAGCCAAAAGACTGCGACGCGACTAATTAGTGCTCATGTCGCCTGCCAAAAGTTATCGACCAGGTAGCCCAGGGTTCATTATCCTGTCTAGCTTTTATCCTGCTGTCAGCATTTGCTGCGACCGATAAGGTTTTTATTTCTTAATTAGCAGCCAGCCAGTCGCAGTGCTCCAGTTTGTTTCGCGCCCCTCGGGGTGTTAATTTCAAAATCTCAACGCGTGCCGCAAGCAGAAAATGCTGCTGCTTTTGCTGCTGCTGCAATGCGTTGACAGCGAATGCAATTTGAACTTGATGGCCGGCAACGTGACACGCATATTAAGCAGACTCTTGGAGCTCCGGTTTTGTAATATACGAGCAGTATGCATATGTGCGGCGTTGCCGAGGCGGCGCTTTAAATACGCACAAAGCGGCTCCGCATGCGCAATTAGTCGTGATTGAGTCGCAAGTTTGTTTAAGCATCGAGAGCAGAGGGAGCACAAGATGAAGAAACTACGGCAAAATTACTTCGAACATGGGCACGAACGTGGAAAACTCTCACTTTTCGTTGGCTTTATGTCTTAACAGTTTTTATTTTTTTTTTTTTAAGCATTTTGTGTAATTTTCGATTAACAATTTCGATTAGGTTTTGCGTCTTTTTGATTGATTGAAATGTCTTGTCGGTTTCGGTTACTTCTTTTTATAGTTTCTTAATATTTTTTTTGTTTATTTAATGATTTTTTTTTTTTTGGTTTCTAGCCTCTGGGCTGAATGCTAAAGTGTGTAACAAAAATTAGGCACCTTTTTGTGTATTTCTTCTTGTTGTTGTTTTTAATTTCCATACAGAATGTATGTGCGAACCGAAAAAGCGAACAGTAAACAGCAAACAGCAGACAGAAAATAGCGAAATCGAAACCGAATCCGAATCGGAAACCGATCTGAACCGCACTCAAGCGCTGTGAAAAGCAAACTGCGGCCGGCAAAGCATCAGCCAGCGCATAAAACTGCGCCAGGTGCCAAGAGAAAAGCCCCGCTCGAAGAGCGTTTGGATAAGAGAGAGAGAGAGGAGCCAAAAAACAAGGAGAACCACACAGACGACGGGCCCATAAGCTTCGAAGAGAGATTTATGACGGACAAGTTTGTGCCTTAAGTCTTTCGTTTGAACAGCTGATTGCGAGAGCTCTTTGGCTGGCAAATTGATAAGTGCACAAATGTTTACGGCCGCAGCGACCTCGACCCCCCAGGCTCACTTCTGGGTAAACAAATAGCCGTGTGCGCACCACACACACACACACACAAATTTTGGCCATCAATTTAGCACGAATGGTTTTTGGCCACTTTCCCGCCCATTCTCAGACTTTGTCACTGTTAAACCCAACTCCCCCCTCTGAAAAGCACACCCCCACCTTCTTGGGTGATTCATGGTTTTGCGATTATTTAATCTCCGTATTAGCGCAAGCTCTTTTATTTGGCGACCCATGTGCGGTTTCTTTATTGACTCACCGACTTTTAAAAGTGGGTCAGTGTTAAAGATTTTTCGCCTCTCATTTGTTTGGGGCTTTTTTATGAGTTATCAGTATAACAGTTACATAACACTGAGTGCAGCCTATTGTTGCCGTTTTACGGGGGATGCCAGAAGCAATCGAACCGATGATTCAGTTCGATTCACCGGAGGATGCTGTTAACATTGGGGAATCATTAAGCTGAATATTCGGCAAAGTCGTGGGTCATTTATCAACAGAGGTTTTAATGGGTTTTCCAAGGAAAAACATAAATATTCGGCATTAAAAATGGAATTTTCTTTGAAGAAAACGACGAGATGCCGTATTAGGTCTAAAATTTATGGTTAGAGCTGCGTTTTTTTTTTGCATTTAAAACGATTTCTCGTTAAAATAACTTCTTAAAGTAAAATTGGTATAAAAAACATAAATAATCCAATACGTATAAATGACAAATCGGTGTACCTTCAACCTCTGTTAGTCAAGAACATAGGTAATTACTAATCACAGCAGATAGCAAAGCCGATGTTTATGTTCCAGCACAGATCACTGATCAATCCCGATTACTGCGAACCAATACGATTTGCATGATCCTATCCGCCAATTCCTATCAAATTTAGCTCAAATTGCCGACAATCTCCTAAAGCTAACCGGCTTGAAAAATTAACACTCGAACATTGTAAATGGCCTAGGCGATCGGTTTAGTGCAGTTCAACGAACGTTTGCTGGGTTCTCGATCGGTGATCTTGGCGAAATGAAGAGAAACATTCATTCATGCCTGACTGGGCGCTGATAAATGGATCTTCTAGTGGATTCCTGCACAGCAGAGCAGTTCAATGACAGAATACTCAACGCTGATCGTTGATCGTCGACGACTGGCGATCGTGGATCCATGGCAATTGCCTACTACTGAATTACTCAGACATCGATTGAGCCAAGATCATTTAACACTGTCATCGCTAAACGATCATAAATCAGCTGAGAATAAAGTTGTATAAAAAGGGGGTAATCATGGTTGATGGCTGAAATGGGTGAGATTTTGGTCTTGGGAAAGAAAAGAAGCGAAAGTTCATATAATTGAAATATTTTATACTTAATAGCTTAATCTTTTTAGAACAGTTTTTGATTGATTTTTTATGATTCCTCTTAAATAAAAAATAAAGTATTTTATTCAATAAAATCCGGTTTAATGGTTCTGGTTTAATGCTCTTTCCCTCTACCAACACTTCTTTCCATTTAATAATTCCAACTGTTATGAGTCTGCCAATTTAGCCCGAAACTAAAATATCTCAATTCTGCCATAAAAACTCCCCATGACATCTTTTTTTTTCTACCAATATTTAATTTGGCTCTAAGCGTTCGATGTAAACCGAAAATCGAATTCCACCTTACTGACCCATTTAGCCAACTCCACAACCCCGCGGCTGGCAAGCCAAACGCAGCAAGTGGCACTCTCCGAACTGGCGAAGAGGTGGTGGCCAGTGGCAACGGGGCAGGAGGAACGGATCGAAGCCAGTTGGAGTTGCGACTCTCTGCTTGAGACTTGATTAATCGTTTACACGTGAATCAAATCTCGAATCGTTAATTTAAATGAGTAACACAATGGCCTGAGTCTGAAACAAAATGCTGCCAATATATTTGCCAATTATGCTGGCTCTCAGGCAGACAAACTACGTTTAGTATTACATTAAAAGAAATGTCTTGATAATCTATAAAAATTAGGGAGATTTGGGAAAATATACTTTAAAAGAACTGAAGCTCAAATTGGAAATAACAAATTTTCGATTTGTAAAACATTAAAAAATACTGAATGGGAAAATGTGATGGTAAGAAGAGATCAAATGTCGCTGCCTTACATCAACAGAACATTTTCCGTTGATCTTTATAATTGAACAGGAAATATTTATAAAATATAAAGATAATTTCAAAACCAAGTTCAATTTAATTTGAGTGTAACCTTTGGCTTTTAGCATCCTGTCAACGCTTTTCTGATTGACATTTGCATAATCTGAACCCACCGAAGATCTCGTGTGCCGTGTGTGAACTGAGGGCCTTGGGCCTGGGCTGGGGCAAAGTGAAAGTCCGTGTCAAGATTAATGGGTCGCAATTTGTCATGCCAATGAGGTCTCACACCACTCCAGACGGTCGTATGGTCTTCTGGTCGATAGAAGACTCTGCTCTGGTTAAGCCCGATCTTGGCGTGCACATCATGTCATTTTCATTCGGAATCGTTTTGTGCTGTCAACAATGCCACAAAAGCGCTGCAAATGACATGTACGAACTCAATCGATTATCGAGTAGGAAGTGGAAAGCGAGGCAAGTTTGTGCCTTAAGTCTTTCGTTTTGGGTTCCGCAATGAGAGAAACGGATCGTCAGATGGCGCGATGGCTAAACTCGATGGAATGCGGTAATTAATTAAGCCAAAAGCAAGAACTGCCAACGGCAGCTGTCGAAGAATTTTTCTTTCATTTCCAGCAGGAAAAGCTACCAAGCTCCGTAGCGATAGGGCAAGAACGAAGGGTGGGACATGGTGGGCGGTCGATTCCCGAGAATCCAAACATTGCATGCATGAAATGAGCGTAATTATTAAGTACAAGCCAGGCAGCTGGGCACTAATACCCCTTTGCCACCGCCACCGCTGCCGCTGCCGTCGTCGTCTCTTGGCCGCCTCTTGGCCATGTCTTTATTTAATAGTTGTGTAAGTATTTTTCACAGCAATATTGAATTTTCCGCACACACATGTGACATGGGTCAGTAACCTAGAAATGAAAATAACACCTTGCTGCGGCTATGGCTGTGGCTGTGGCTGCCAACTGCCATAAATGTGGACGGAATGGAGATGGACATGGGATGGAGCCGGGACTGGAGCTGGATCTATAGCTATAGCTATAGCTGGAGCTATGGTGCTGTAGAGCTCTTGAGCCTCGCTGCAAACGAAACGAACCCACCTAGCCACCGCCAGCGACCCCCCTCCGTTGTGTGTGCATGTGTGTGTGTGTCTGTGTGTGCGAGTTTGCTAACGTTTCAAGACCATATCTATATCTAAGCAAGTGTACGGCAGCCCAAGAGAAACACCAGCCAGCGCAACAGAGACGGGGAGAACCTGTATGGAGAGACAAGACCAAGACTTAGACCAAGACCAAGACAAGACCCAGGCCAGGCCAGGCCACATCTCCAGAAAATTTGTTAAACCGCAGCAGAGAAATGTTGAAAACATAAACCCAAAACCGCAAAATGTGGCAAAAACAAAAAACAAAAAAAAGAACTACATACCAAGTGGAAAACCAGCAGTAGCAGCAGCAACAATAAAAAGAACAATAACAACAATAAAATGGCAGCGAACTCTGGAGGCAAATTAAATTAAAAGCACTCACAAATGTAACCCTAAACATTTTCTAATGGCCAAAAAGAATACAAAAGGCCCAAAATGTGTGGCAATGTGAGGGAATAACTATCCAAATGGCAATGACAACAGGAAGCCCAAAAATGTTGTGAAAGAAAACGAACTGAGAATGCCCTAACTAGAAAATAATAAGTTAGACTAGAAAATATATTACTTCTATTAAGAAATCCTAACATCTTAGTTCAACTTCTTATACCTCATTTTAAGCTGGTTATTAATTATATAGAAATCTTTAAATGACATAACATGCTCTATCGACCAACATTTAAACTATGAAAAATATGACAGAATATTAACTTTTCTTTTAGCCAACCTATGATTAATATTCAACCGTAAGGTCCATTAATTACATTTCAGTTGTTCTAGTTTTGATAAGCCACCACCACTCCACATAGCCCCTATTCCATGCGCTAGACCCCAAGATCGGAGGCCGAGCTGCCAGAGTATAACCGCCGGGTTAGTGACTCTCTTGGTGAACTCTTAGTCGGAGGCAGACGGTCACAGTCAGTTAACAGTTGGCGTTATGATGATATAATAAACAATGACGGTCCCAGAGAATGGAGAGGAGGAGTGTATGAATGGCTATGGAGTGCTGAGACCCGGCTAGAACAGATAGATGGTGTAGATTAAAGCCAGGTCATGTCAGGAAAGACAGAGTCAGCGCAGTCAACGCTTTGGCATGCGTTTCAATTTGGGTGTCAGACCAGGCAGAGACTCAAACAAATCACCCAACACCATGGACAAAATGACGGCAGACTAGTAGTGTTGGACGCAGATTAATTTCAGTTGACAAATTACACATGAATTTCTAACGGCAGTCCAATATTTATGGGAATCTTCCCATTGCCCCGCCAACGTCACGCGTGCACCCCAAGCAGACACAACCTGAAGTGGAGCGCTGGCACTGGCCAGGTTCCTACTCCGGTTGACAGCTGAAATTGAGATTAATTGTGCTAAATTAAGTGAGTGAGAAATTACGAAATTATTGCAGCGTGTGTTGCAGTTAGAAATCGCAATCAGTTTGCCCGAATCAGCTGGTCCCGGTCCCGGGCCCCAG